AACAACAAAGAAGACGAAAGACTTCATGCAGACTTCACGATCCGCCATGCATAAAGTCTTTTGTCAAGTCTGTTTGTTGCTACGGCAGGCAACCATTGAAAACTAGTTCGTTAAATCCAGGGGCGGCCGAGCGACTTCCAAAGAAAAGAGACCACTTTCTGGAGAAAAAAGGGCACCTACAAAGGGAAATCTCAAAGCGAATATATACAATTTTTTAGACATTGGTATTTACCCCTACTTTGTGATTACAATCCCTTCTTGTTTTCACGAAGTGACGGTAGTGATGAAAATCGTAACGCAAAGTGAATGCAATTTTTTGTCACTACCGTCACTTCGTAAAAACAGCGACGATTATTATCAGTGATGATTTCAATATCTGTGTCACTTTATACACAAAACAAGATATTGCTTAAGCATCATGCTTTGCATTTGGTTTGATTGTCTAAAAAATTGTTTGCAGGTTTCTTTTCAAATACTCTATTGAAATATACAGTCATAATTATCAATTTTGATTGTGATAAGTTATGATTAAACATCGATCTTTCTCGGTTTCTTTTTTTTCTTTGACGCACTGTATAATACGGACTTGCTGAATAACAGCATTGCGACCGAAGGCAGGTTTTTTTTTCAAATACTCTATTGAAATATACAGATGAAACACACGAAAAAACAAACACACAGAGCTAACGAAATAGACGGGTCGATTAAAATATTTGAATTGATGATTGTTTCCTTCCTGGGAACCCAGTGACGAGTTATTCATCAACCTGTTATCAATGAATGAAATGAACTACAATACTCGGAATCCAGTCTGCAGAAATTACTTGTTGATATTTCGGGCAAATCTCGAGCAAGCTTTCGGATTGTCAAGACCAATCTTTGTTTAAAAAGTATGTATAACAATTGAATATGTTGGTAAACTCGTCTATTGCCTTAGGTTGATATTTTGAAAGTCCTTGGGATCGTGTCATTACAATTTTCATTTTCCTTTTATTACCTTTCCCTTAAAGGGATCCGGTAACTTTGTCTCAGATTCTGAAACAAAAAACGAGTATGGTAAAACAGGTCACTCAAAGATTTTTACTTTTTTGAGGCACTTCTTGATCATTTTGAAGTGCAATTTTTTTAGGGCTTCAATACTACACCATATCACAGACACTGATAACACGTAGGGCCGTGTTTCTCAGATTTAACATTGTTACACGATCCCTTTAAAAAACATGTGAGATTCTTTTAATCAGTTTTCAAAGTACATTTTGTTTTTCATTATTACAAATGCTTGTTTTGCTTGTACATGTTCTTCGTTATTCAGTTATTATATTTGGAAAATTGCAGAAATAAAAGCAAATCAAATCAAATCATACATGGCCGAAGTTGGGGGAGAATGCGGCCCTCCCCCCTCTGAATTTCGAAATTAAAGGGAACCAAAACCTTCATACTAGTTTGAATTTGATTGTAAATTTTAAAGATTTGAATTTGAACAAAATCGGGCAAGGTATGAGGAAGTTGAAATCTTTTTTAAATAACTTGTGACTAGTGGGCGATTTTTGTCGTGTGCTTCAAGTTTCATGTTTTTCCGTCTTTCTTGTGACTGAGATAACCTACTTCCCTGAGAACAAGATATATTATGCAGAGTGATATACTACTTAATAAGTCAGGTCAGAATTGTGAAGTGCCATGTTCAGAAGGCATGGAGAGTTGTTCATATTATGAGATCATCATATTCAATATCGCCCCCTAATGATAAATTATATGAAAAGCTTTAACTTCCTTATTCCTTGAAAACAGATTATTATCATCATAATCGAGAGTTAAGATGTTATTGTATGACTACACGCTTACGAATCGATCCCTATCATTTCAACCCACAACCGCCACCCTCTCTCACACCACACGCATCAATAATGAACTCCCATACCATCGCCCTTCTCCTCCTCCTCTCTCTTTTATCCTTTCTTTCTCTTTCTGCCTCTCTGCCATCTCTCCCTTTCTCTTTCTCACCCCCTCTCTTTCTCTAACTTTCTCCTCCCTTTCACGTACTTTTCCCTATCTCTAATTGGACACGTTTGATGGAGGCCCCCTTTAAAGGACCAAGTTAGTCACTCTCTCCTCTCTCTCTCTCACACGTACGTTTCCCTATCTCTAATTGGACATGTTTGATGGAGGCCCCCTTTAAAGGAAACATTTCAGTCACATGACCAAGTTAGTCACTCTCTCCTCTCTCTCGCTCTCACTCTCTCACGTACGTTTCCCTATCTCTAATTGGACATGTTTGATGGAGGCCCCCTTTAAAGGAAACATTTCAGTCACATGACCAAGTTAGTCACTCTCTCCTCTCTCTCTCTCTCTCGCTCTCTCTCTCTCTCTCTCACGTACGTTTCCCTATCTGTAATTGGACATGTTTGATGGAGGCCCCCTTTAAAGGAAACATTTCAGTCACATGATCAAGTTAGTCACGCTCTCCCCCCTCTCTCTCACGTACGTTTCCCTATCTCTAATTGGACATGTTGGATGGAGGCCTCCTTTAAAGGAAACATTTCAGTCACATGACTAATTTAGTAATTTGTGATAGGCATCAATTGCCAAATACCGATCATGGCTAACAATTGCAAATTAGTTTTCTTTCATATAATATAAAGGGTTTTTCATTTCCTGGACCTATTGGGACTCAAGACGAGTCCGCCCAGACGATTTACAACCATGCTGGACAATAACCACTCGGACAACTACCCCCTGCAACAACTACTTCCTGGGAGAGTATCCTCAGAAAACTAGTTTGGGTAACATTGTGGGGCAATTGACTGGGAATAGTTGTCCAGGAGCTACCGTCCTCATAGTTTGTTGTCCGGGGGTCATATTCATGGGGGTATATATGTCCTTGGATCATATTTCAGATGCAATATGAGATAAATTAGTATCATGATCTGACATAAGATGATAATAAGCCAACAGGTATAAGAATGAGTCAGTTATAATCACTTCTGTAATTACATGCAAGTGACAGATTTTATTCCCAAATACACCATAAATATTCTTTTACATGGAATCATCAAAAAAGTTATCAATTTCGAAGTGTTAAACATGACCAAGATGTTGGGAAGTATTACAAGTCCAAAGGTGCAACGCATTGAAAAGAAATTTAAGGACCACAAAAATACGTTTGTTTTCATTTACGAAAAGATGTTTAACATAGAGACTTTGACATCTGCAAGTCACTTTTTGATATGAATTACGTACACCTGTGTCCTGTAAATACTAATAACTTGTCGAAGTTCATCTTTTAACTTTCTTTCCAGCTGTAATATTTAATGATAAACGGTAAATCTGCGAGTACATTATTTGTTGGTATGACTAGAATTACTTTAATGCTATTACAATTTGGAAATGTAAACATGAATGAATCAAAGCATTAAAAGACAACAAAATACAAAGGAAAACAGATTCTTAAAAATTCGACATTTGAAGATAATTAAAAGTAATTTTTGTGCGTTTGTCAAAGAGGTACGAAATGAAATACCATGTTTACAACGCCATATTTATTTATGATAATAAGATGAGGTTATTCGGGGTCATTCAAATTGTGTTGGTTTTTGTAAATACAGTTTGAAACATTTTAACAAACGAGAAAAAGGCCAATCTTCTATTGCTCTGCGGTCATTGAGCAAAGCACAGTATTGGGTGATCACTTTTCTGCGTCCCTGTGTAGCTCTATCGCACCGTCGTAGGTCACTCCGGGAACTCACAAGCGTTCGCGCAGAACCCTTTGAAGAAATTTGTTTTGCATTCACACATACACCAGTCTTTGTATTTATCACTTTTACCGACTTCACCACTCAAATACAAAGCTAACCAATATCATCGAATGTAGAGGTTAAAGAGTTTGTTTTTTTACAAGGACTTACAAGGACGTTTTTTCATGATTAAAGGGTATGTATTATACGCGACCGCTCGTGAGTTTGTGATTTCGCGGAGTGACGTTGGGCGGTGCGAAAGAGCCTTCCAGAGATGCAGAAGCGTGATCACTCGATCCCGTGCTGTGCTCAAGCTGCGTAAGATCCTACCCATCATTGATTAAATTTTAAGGATAGCAAATACTTTTTTACGACTAAATCTTTGAGAAAATTATATGGACAGAAACTAAAAAGCATCGCCATACTCCGTCATTGCACTGGGACAATTCTACTCGGCCTTTCGTGTACGATAACTGATGCAGGCGCAGTTCTAAAAGGGTAGGTTTAGAGAAGTTTGGGTCCGTGGGCTTGGGGGTCCGTGGGCTTGGGGGTCCTGCCTTCATTGTCTACATTTGTCTCGCTTATATTCACTTACGAAAGAGATGTCCTGTATAATAGAGGTGCCGTCGGACTGTTGATCAGTTGGTTCGTGGTTTGAGTCCCTCAACATTAATCTACATTTGCCACTCTCAACCTAGGTGAATTAAAAGTAATTCCTTTAACTGTTTATCCCCTTATCATGGCAGTTCAGCTACAGCCGGTGAATAATATGGTATTGAAAGCGCATTAGAGTATACTTTTATAATTGTATAGTATATGCTCTTTGTAAATTGACATATTTCAGGGAAATGGGGGTGGGGGGGGGGGGTTCTTAAAGAAATGTTGGGGTTTGATCCCCCAGCCTGTAGAATTGCTACTACATCAGTGTTGAATATAACTACAGAACTCAATAAAGTCACCCTCGCTAACAGTGGCTTGCCACAATGAATAACCATATAAGTAACTATCTCCAACTACTTGAAATTCTCTTCTGCTTTTCATTTTCCCCAAAAAATTGAAAGCCTACTACCATTGCTGTAATGGATTAGAAAAACAAAACAATAGGCGAGACATTAAAATCGAAAATTAACAACCCATAAAATACCTGGGAACCGTTTCACAAAGCCTTTTTTTTATGACAAATGACAAATATTAGTGACAAATCTGGTAATAACCAATCAGAAGCAAGGATTTCGCTAGCTTATACAAAAAACCGGTCATTTGTCACTGATGACAAGTTTTGTGAAGACAGAAAATAGAAGAGATCCATATCCATTGATGAAGTGTATAAAAAAAGGTATACGTTGAAAAAAATCACCATCAAAAGTGAGTTGTAAAATCGACACACCACCATAGCACGCAATATGTATCACGATACATCAGCACCGTCTGGAAAAAGAGATAGATTCAAATATATAATGCATAAATTAATCACTTTCATTATTATCTATGCACCTTAAATTTACCTCGGCATATTGGTTAAGATATTTCCTGCTACCCAAACGTATTGCACAATTTGTAATTTTAATAAGAACCGCGTTTAGGATTCATGGGAAAAAAAATCACGATCGAAGATTGATTATAATGTTTATAATAGTGGGTTCTTCTATAGCGGTCATTGGTGTCAGACTTGACACTCCTGGCACTCCGCAATGAATACCCCCCCCCCCCCCCCCCCCCCCCGGCTTTAGCATGACTGCCACTATTGCATTAAGATTGTATTAATGTCTTGCCAAAAGACGCCAGTGCTGTGGCACTAAAATTCAAACAACGAGTACTGTTACGATGATGACTGTTAAAACTTTACGGATAGAATTACGTCATCACGTCTTCATGAAGCACTATAAATTATCAATTAATAAAAAACGTACCAAAATGTTGTAAAGAACAACTAAGTTTTCATTCGATTTAGGCAAGCTCATCGATTTTTCGAGTTATTTTGATAATTGTCGGGGAAAGGGTATACATATACAGACATCATTACAAAGAAGAATTACCCTAAACGTAACAGAGGACACCCGCGTCCTCGTAGTGCCGACAGTCGTGGATGAGTGGACCATTGCTGGGACAAGCGAAGAGATCGGCTTCGTTTCCAAGACACTCTACATTGTCTAGGACAATTTTATTAGTACCTTCCCCAAACATCGCTTGGCCGATGGCAGCTGCTGTATCACCAAATCCAAGAGCTCGACACACCACTGCAGCATCGGCGTCGTCCCAGAGATCATCACAGACGGTTCCCCATTGTCCATCGTAACGCACTTCGACTCGACCTTCGTTAATTGATTGGCCACCGACAAGACGGATTGATTCTGAGGTTGGTACAAGAGAAATGAGATCAAATGACAAGAAGGATTTAAGAGTTTAATTATCCGATTTGAAACGCAGATTTTCTGCCATTGGTTTTTTAGATACTTTGTTTACTGAGAATGCACTGCAGTTGTTGTGTTAAATGCCCGGAAATGACCATATCACATTTTACCTAGTTGGAAGGATAGGAGGTGGAGTCGCTTTATTCATATCTTAAAATTTCGAGTATATTATGTTGAGGCCAGATTTTCTTTGTATGTTTATTTTATTGAAGCAGTATTTGTTGAAGTTAATTTGCCGAACGATAATAACATAGTTATAGGTATAGAAACAATCTTGCTATTATCAGCGATTCAATTTCTATAGAAATGACAGTATAAATACTGTGCAAGTCATAACCAATGTTACCAATGGAAATACTTCAATTTTTAAAATATAAACAAATCAAAGCCAATGATCAGATTATTGCTATATTGCAATATAATGTTGCAATATTGGGGGGGGGGGTCTTTTCAGAAATAGGCCAAAATCTTGCCAGCAAAATTCCCGCCACATATAGTCACTTTACTGATTTCTCTGTGCTTCAAATCCGATATCTTTATACTTCACTATGGTTATTGAGGAGGAAGCTATGATTCAGGATTAAATATTTCCCTATTACATTAAGATATTTTGTTTTTAAATATTTTATGTTTTGTTAATTTTGCATGGAACAGAATTAAAATAAAGGCGAAGAATCGACAAGTTCGTTTCCTCCAGCAATGGTTCTGAAAATAATCAATTTCTAATCAATTTAACTCAATAATCCATATGAGCCAAATCGTTCATCCTAGAGATACATCACTTGAAATCTTAAGAATAATGACTTAATAAGTTATCAAACCAAAATATATCGTTTTGGCTTTCAAATCACATAACTCACCGGATGATGTGCTGATGCATCGCACTCCTGCGTCTTCAGCATGCACGCAGTTGTGACTGAGTGGTCCGTTACTAGGACACGAGAAGAGATCCGTTTCAGTTCCGACACACTGTACGTCGTCAAGAATGATGTCTCCACTCCCTTGTCCAAAGGCAGCATTTCTAAGGGCACTCCCGCTCTCACCTAGACCAAGAATTTGACACACCACTGTCGCATCGGTGTCGTCCCAGAGATCATCACAGACGGTTCCCCATTGTCCGTTGTATTCGATTTCGACTCGACCTTCGTTACCTGATGACCCATCGACAAGACGGATTGCACCTAAAGTTTGCGAGACTGTAAAACATCACATTATTCGCACACCAACTTTCAAAGTTCTGCCTATAGCTCTGTCTTTTGAATTGATTTGCTAAATTATTGCTTGTAATACTTTGACCTTACCCTCAATAAGTTATCAGAACAATTTTGTATATTCTAGATAAGCAACTTGCAATCTTTAGACTTAAATGCCTCAAAGTTACACTAAAAAGGATGCCGTTTCGCATTTGAAATGGCAAAACTCACCAGATGGTGTGCTGCCGCTCCCCAATCCCTTCTCATTGATTTTGATCGCAATCTACTTTAATATTTCTGTCAGTGTTTGATATTGAAGAAACAGCTGTCACGAACTGACGGTTAGTTAATTTGCCGAACGATAATAACGTAGTTATAGGTATAGAAACAATCTTGCTATTATCAGCGATTCAATTTCTATAGAAATGACAGTATAAATATGCAAGTCATAACCAATGTTACCAATGGAAATACTTCAATTTTTAAAATATAAACAAATCAAAACCATTGATCAGATTATTGAAGATCCTCAAGAAGTTGCAATATGGGGGGGGGGGGTCTTTTCAGGAATAGGCCAAAATCTTGCCAGCAAAATTCCCGCCACAGATAGTCACTTTACTGATTTCTCTATGCTTCAAATCCGAAATCTTTATACTTCACTATGGTTATTGAGGTGGAAGCTATTTATGTTATCAATGGAATGAAAATAAAGCAGATTTCTGGTTATGACGAAATTAGTCAATTGTTTATAGAAAACATGCACCATATCGTCGGCCTTATGCCAAAAGGGCCTTAACCCGATTTGGGGGGTTATTGAGTTATTAATATCACCTTGTAGATTTCATCATTCTCTTTAAAATGATGTGCTTCACTTGTTAAAATTCGATTTATTTATGAAGATAATTATGAATTTCAAAAGGGCCTTAACGCGTATCTCATCTTTTTCCTTACGCCAAAAGGGCCTTAACCTACACGGATGATCCATTTGCGTTAGGAGGGCCTTTCTGGCAAACCAAAGGTGTTGCGAAACAAGAAAATTTCCTTATGCCAAAAGGGCGCTAACTATGCGCGCGTACGCGCGCATAGTTACGCGCACGATAACGGCAGGTTAAGGCACTTTTGGCATAACGCCGCGTAGGTTACGCCCCTTTTGGCATAATGCCGAGTAGGTTACGGCCCTTGTGGCATAACATACGCTAACATACGCTACATTCAAGCCTTATGCCAAAAAGGCCCTAACATGTTTTTTGCACATAGCATGTACAATTTTGAATATTTTATAACAAATTTAACACATTTCATGTAAAACTTAATAACTTAACACATTTATCGAAATTGGCTTCAAAAGCAAAAAAACGACCACAAACTTTTGATTATTAGAGAGGCCAAAACCTTTAAACGCGATTATCTCGGAATGGCCAAAAGCAGTTAAGGCCCTTTTGGCATAAGGCCGACGATATATTGTTTACCCCTTTATAGTTCACATTTTTAATATGTCTATTAATACAGGAGTTGTACCACAAGCTATGAACTTGCTTAAGTGGTTCCCAATCTTTAGCAAGGGGATTCACTACAGTTTGGAAATCGCAGACCATCATCATTATTGACATGCCTATCTACAATTCGTGAATTTTTTTGTTATGTTCGAACACTTAATTTTCTCCCTTCAATTAATATCTGATACGATTCGAAGTCTGGTTTTCAAGCACATGCACTGTTAATATTAATTTATATTAATTAACATAGTAGCATGTTCCATTGATGTTCCAAAGGCACACACATGTGTGTTAATTTTGTTTGTGTAAATATATATACATTTCTTCAAGGAAGGTGGTTCAATTTATTTTTATGTATTTTTCTTTACAAATTTCAATGAAAATCTCGTGCGTTTGTCTTAAATATGGTTGAAATCATCCGTGCAATATCGTGCCATAATTAACTTACCGTTTAATAATGCATAATGGTATGAAGATTCACTGTTGTAACCTGTTAGAAAAAAGCGGGAGAGATTTTTTGTATGAATATATATTGTATTCAGGCCATTAATTTGGCATACTAAGATGATTAATCAAAAATATACAAGAAAAGTTTGATAATCACTTGACTAAGCCACTTTGTATATTATCGAGCATTTCTAAGCGACATAACAAAAACTGTCGGATAACAAAATTATCAAATTTGGTTACACGATAACGAGGAATTAAATAAATATAAACATCGATCTTCTGACTAGTTGAATGTGAATGGCTGAATGTCTTTTAATAAATTATCCAAATAAATCACTTTCTCCGCTTAACAGAAAGATCAATTTAGTGAGTAGGAATATCAAAATGTTTCAAAATGGAGCTATCAAGTGTTACCACTTTGCAAAAAGGTGCAGTTGCATGCTAGGTGTGTATGCCAAAGAACACAACGTGTCAATATGACGCAAATAAAGACCTTGCTATAACATTTTGAACGTCCGGTTTGCTAACGTTATGAACACATTATGTGTTTTCAGGGAAGCTGGTTTAGCTAACTCATTTGCTTTTCTTTCCCAATTTTAATGCAAATTTCGTGTACGTGTCATCTATGTTGATGATATAACCAGTGCAATCTCATGGCATGATTAACTTACCAAACGGATAGCCACTGGAGTTGTCTAAGAAGAGAAAAAAAGTAAATATTAATAATACATATCTACCTTATTAAGCCCATTATGTCGCTATGATAACAAAATAACACAAACATTAAACAAGACAAGCTTCATAATCACTTGGGGAAGAATGAATTCGACCATACGGTAGGGGTGTTCCGAGATCTCTCTCTAAGGCTTTCGATACGAAAAAAACATGATATCCTTCTTTACAAACTCTCTAACTAATATTTAGTAATTGATAGTGCTTACTCAGGTAATAAATCCATTGACTGCGATGTACCTCAGGTCTTAAATCTAGGCCCGCTATTGTTTATTATATAATTTACTGATTTCGACAGGTCATCAAATCCTTTGTCTTTTATTCTCTTAGCAGACGACTCTAATATTTCTTTTCATATAAAGATCCTGAACTTTTACTCACAACAATTGATTTTGAAATTAAGCTTTAACAAATTGGGTCAGGATTAACAAATTTTCACTTAATTTGCTAAAAAATAAATAAATGCTTTTTAGTAATATAAAAGAAAATACACTTGGAGAAATTATTCTTGATAACACTTTTATGGAAAGGGTTTCTACTATACAATTCTTAGGAATAATATTGGATGAGAGGTTATCGTGGAAACCACATAATAAAAATAGATGATAGAAACGGTGCTTATCAAGCGCCTACCACCGAAGTCTGTAAGCGCTATAACATATTCATAATTTGTGCAAAAATAATTTCCAGAATTATTCATAAACTTAACAAAGTTGAATAGTTAATGTTTTTCCGTCACAAATATTGAATTTGTACTCTAATCTAGACTTGTTCATATTTGAATTATGACATTCTAGCCTAGGCAACTGTGCAGACTCGTTATTGGACAAAACTTCTTCACAAAAATGCCAAATGTATTATAAGTAATTTAGCACATACAGATCCACTCTTGTACAAAATTTTAAAGATTCGTGATTTGTTTTCTTATACTTTTGGGATTTTTTATTATTTCGGCCAGTAAAAATGAGTTACCAGAAGTTCTTTTAACAATATTTAGGGAAAAATACCGAATTACACAGGTACCCCTTCAGTGTAGTGGGCTACTATCGACTTCCAAAAATGAGAACCATACTTGCTATAAAAAAAAATGTACAGGACCCAAAACTTTCTATGGTCTCAGGAATGCACTTTGGTGTCATTTTCTCCACAGTATAAAAAATCTATCTTTCCATCTACCCACCTATCTATCTATCTCTAATATTCCCCCACCTCCTCTATTTTTCTCTCTTCCACTTTTAACTGTAAAATGTTTTATTTCGTTTCATTTCTGTTTTTGTTTCAGTCCAGCGTATGTTTATTCTGTTTTTTTGTTCTTCCGTCCCTATACTTTATTAGTTTAATTCAGTGAACCTACATTAAACAAGCCTATTTTTTTAGATAAATGTTCACTTTTCATTTCCGTATTTATTGGTTTGCAGGACATTATTTCTTGTTGTTAAGAACTATGATTCAGGATTAATTATTTATTGAATGTTTTTAAATGTATTATGTTTTGTTAATTTTGTTAGGAACATGAATCAAAATCAAGGCGAAGAATCGACATGTTCGTTTCCTCCAGCAATGGTTCTCAAAAAAAAAATTCAAATCAATTTTATTTTCTGCTTAGCTCTTTACTTTGTTATTGTTTCTGGAAATAACTTGACCTTTAACTCAATAATCCATATGAGCAAAATCGTTCATCCTAGAGATACATCACTTAACATCTTAAGAATAATGACTTAATAAGCTATCAAACCAAAAAATATCGTTTTAGCTTTCAAATCACAGAACTCACCAGATGATGTGCTGCTGCATCGCACTCCTGCGTCTTCAGCGTCGATCGCAGCCTATTTATTATATTTATGACGGTGTATCATATTAAAGAATCAACAGTCACGCTCTAAACCTCATCATTGACCCAGTGTCATTAGTCCTGCCTTTATTTGCCAGTCAAAGGTAATGAAATAAACAAATAACCTAATAATTTGAAGGTATCAAACTAAAAGATATTGTTTAAGGCTTTCAAATGACAAGACTCACCAGATGATGTGCTGCCGCATTGAACTCCTGCATCTTCAGCGTGCACACAGTTGTGACTGAGTGGTCCGTTACTAGGACACGAGAAGAGGTTCGATTCAGTTCCGGTACACTGAACATTGTCAAGAATGATGTCTCCACTACCTTCTCCAAATGCAGCACTACCAAGGGCACTCGCAGTCTCACCTATACCAAGAATTTGACACACAACTCTAGCATCGGTGTCGTCCCATTGATCATCACAGACGGTTCCCCATTGTCCGTTGTAATTGATTTCGACTCGGCCTTCGTTACTTGATGAGCCATCGACAAGACGGATTGCACCTAACGTTGCGAGAGTGTAAAACATCAAATTAGTTGCACACCAACTTTCATAGTTCTGCCTATAGCTCTGTCTTTTTAATTTTTTTGCAGAATTATTGCTTGAAATACTTTGACATCACCCTCAATAAATCATCAGAACAATTGTGTACATCCTAGAGAAGCAACTTGAAATATTCAGACTTGAAAGCCTCAAAGTTACACTAAAAAGATTTCCCTTTCTTAAAGGCTGACAAGTTACACTAGAAATAGATTTTGTTTCGCCTTTTAAATGACAAAACTCAGCAGATAGTGTGCTGCCGCTCCCTTATCCATTCTTATTGATTTTGATTGCAATCTTTTTTAATGTTTCTTTCAGTGTAAAATATTAAAGAAGCAGCTGTCACGGTCTATATATTAGCATTTACCCTTTATCTCCAGTCCTGCCTGTATTTCTTAGTAAAAAGTAATGAAAAACAAAATTACCTAAGGATGTGAGGGTATCAAACAAAAAGATATTGTTTAAGGCTTTCAAATCACAGAACTCACCAGATGATGTGCTGATGCATCGCACTCCTGCGTCTTCACCATGCCCGCAGTTGTGACTGAGTGGTCCGTTATTAGGACACGAGAAGAGATCCGTTTCAGTTCCAACACACTGAACGTCGTCAAGAATGATGTCTCCAATCCCTTGTCCAAATGCAGCACTCCCAAGGGCACTCCCGCTCTCACCTAGACCAAGAATTTGACACACCACTGCCGCATCGGTGTCGTCCCAGAAATCATCACAGACGGTTCCCCATTGTCCGTTGTAATTGACTTCAACTCGACCTTCGTTACTTGATGAGCCATCGACTAGACGGATTGATACTGAATATGGCGAGAGTGTAATAATACAGCATTTATTATGCGCCATCGATCTAGTAAACTATTCTGAGGCACAGAGAGAAATTATTACCCTGGCTTTAGCACAGCTGCTGTTAAGGAGCTCTAGCATTTCAAGGAGTTAATTCCTACCAGGTACCCACTTACATCTTCTGGGTCGAGTGTGGCGAATGTAGATCAATATCTTGCTAAAGGATATTAGTGCCGCGGCGGGACTCGAACCGCGGACCTTGTGTGTGATCGACAGTCTGGTGACGTGTCCATACGACCACGACACCTCTAGTGTAATACATCAGATTATTCGCACACCAAGTTAAAATTCCCATAAAGCTCCTTCCTTTTTGTTAAGTCTTTTGGGAAATTATTTCTTGAAATACATTGATCGGACCTTTAGTAAGTCATAAGAACAATCTTCTTTATCCTAGAGATGCAACTTAAGTTTTGTTGACTTAACAGCTATCAAGTTACACTTGAAATAGATGTCGTTTGCCTTGCAAATATCGAAACTCACCAATTTAATGGTTTACTGCCGTTCCTAAACTTATTTTCATTGATGTTGATCGCGAACTTGTTTAGATATTTGTGTATGTGTATCATGTTAAAGAAGCAACCGTTTATTATCTAAAGCGTAGCATTGGCATTTTGCCATCAGTCTTTAACCTTCATTTTTTTAGTAAAAAGTAATGAAAAACAAAATGACCTAAGGATGTGAGGGTATCAAACAAAAAGATATTGTTTAAGGCTTTCAAATGACAAGACTCACCAGATGATGTGGTGATGCATTGCACTCCTGCGTCTTCAGCGTGCACACAGTTGTGACTGAGTGGTGCGTTACTAGGACACGAGAAGAGGTTCGTTTCAGTTCCGGTACACTCAACATTGTCAAGAATGATGTCTCCACTCCCTTGTCCAAAGGCAGCACTACCAAAGGCACTCCCGCTCTCACCTAGACCAAGAATTTGACACACCACTGCCGCATCGGTGTCGTCCCACAGATCATCACAGACGGTTCCCCATTGTCCGTTGTAATTGACTTCAACTCGACCTTCGCTACTTGATGAGCCATCGACAAGACGTATTGATGCCGTCAAGGCTGACAAAAGAGTAATACATAAAAACATTCGCACACCAAGTTTGATTCTCTATCTAGTATATATATTCCCTTTTGAAGTGTTTTGAGAAATTAGTTTTTGGAATAACTTGACCTTACCCTCATTAAGTCATCAGAAAATTATCGTTCATCTTAGAAACGTAACTTGAAATCTTTTGAATAAAAAGCTTATAAGTTATAACAGAAAATGATACCATTTTGGCTTTAAGATTACTTAAATCACCAAATGGTGTGCTGCCGCTTCTAAACCCATTCTCATTGGTGTTGATCGCAATGCTTTTTAAATATTTATGTAAGTATATCATATTAAAGAAGCAACTGTTACGATATAAACCGTAACATTGACAATTAAACATCAGTCTTACCTTCACTTTTTCAGTCAAAGGTAGTGGAGTATGTAAATTTTTATAAATATTGTCAAGATATCGAACAAAAATATATCTTTTAGGCATTCAAATGACAACACTCACTGGATGGTGTGCTGCTGCACTGCACTCCTGCGTCTTCTCCATGTATGCAGTTGTGACTGAGTGGTTCGTTACTAGGACACGAGAAAAGATCCGTTTCAGTTCCGACACACTCAACATTGTCCAGAATGATGTCTCCACTACCTTCTCCAAATGCAGCACTACCAAGGGCACTCCCGCTCTCACCTAGACCAAGAATTTGACACACCACTGCTGCATCGGTGTCGTCCCAGAGATCATCACAGACGGTTCCCCATCGTCCGTTGTAATTGACTTCGACTCGTCCTTCGTTACTTGATGAGCCATCGACTAGACGGATTGATACTGAATTTGGCGAGAGTGTAACAATACAGCATTTATTATGCGACATCGATCTCGTAAACTATTCTGAGGCACAGAGAGAAATTATTACCCTGGCTTTAGCACAGCTGCCATTAAGGCGCTCTAGCATTTCAAGGAGTTAATTCCTACCAGGTCCCCACTTACATCTTCTTGGTCGAGTGTGGCGAATGTAGATCAATGTCTTGCTAAAGGATATTAGTGCCGCAGCGGGACTCGAACCGCGGACCTTGTGTGTGATCGACAGTCTGGTGACGTGTCCATACGACCACGACACCTCTAGTGTAATACATCAGATTATTCGCACACCAAGTTTTAATTCGCATTTTAAAAGCTCTCTCCTTTTCGTTAAGTCTATGGGGAAATTATTTCTTGAAATACTTTGATCGAACCTTTAGTAATTCATAAGAACAATCTTTTTTATCCCAGAGATGCAACTTGAGTTATTTTTACTTAACATCTAACAAGTTGAAATAGATGTCGTTTTGCCTTGCAAATAACGAAACTCACCAATTTAATGGTTTACTGCCGCTCCTAAACTTATTTTCATTGATGTTGATCGCGAACTTGTTTAGATATTTGTGCATGTGTATCATGTTAAAGAAGCAACCGTTTATTATCTAAAGCGTAGCTTTGGATTTTTCCATCAGTTTTATCCTTTTTTCAGTGAAAGGTAATGGAGTATATACATTTCCTAATATTGTCAAGTTATCAAACAAAAAGATGCCTTTAAGGCTTTTAAATGACAACACTCACCGGATGGTGTGCTGGTGCATTGCACTCCTGCGTCTTCACTATGCCCGCAGTTGTGACTGAGTGGTCCGTTACTAGGACACGAGAAGAGATCCGTTTCAGTTCCGACACACTGAACATTGTCAAGAATGATGTCTCCACTACCAGGTCCAAATGCAGCACTACCAAGGGCACTCCCGCTCTCACCTAGACCAAGAATTTGACACACCACTGCCGCATCGGTGTCGTCCCACAGATCATCACAGACGGTTCCCCATTGTCCGTTGTAATTGACTTCAACTCGACCTTCGTTACTTGATGAGCCATCGACAAGACGGATTGCACCTAAACGTTGCGAGAGTGTAAAACATCAACACACCAACTTTCATAGTTCTGCCTATAGCTCTGTCTTTTTAATTTTTTGCAGAATTATTGCTTGAAATACTTTGACATCACCCTCAATAAATCATCAGAACAATTGTGTACATCCTAGAGAAGCAACTTGAGATCTTCAGACTTGAAAGCCTCAAAGTTACACTAAAAAGATTGCCGTTCCCTTAAAGCTGACAATTTACACTAGAAATAGATTTTGTTTCGCCTTTTAAATGACAAAACTCAGCAGATAGTGTGCTGCCGCTCCCTTATCCATTCTTATTGATTTTGATTGCAATCTTTTTTAATGTTTCTTTCAGTGTAAAATATTAAAGAAGCAGCTGTCACGGTCTATACATTAGCATTTACGCTTTATCTCCAGTCCTGCCTGTATTTCTTAGTGAAAAGTAATGAAAAACAAAATTACCTAAGGATGTAAGGGTATCAAACAAAAATATATTGTTTAAGGCTTCCAAATAACAAGACTCACCAGATGATGTGCTGATGCATTGCACTCCTGCGTCTTCAGCGTGCACACAGTTGTGACTGAGTGGTGCGTTACTAGGACACGAGAAGAGATCCGTTTCAGTTCCGACACACTGAACATTGTCCAGAATGATGTCTCCACTACCTTGTCCAAAAGCAGCACTCCCAAGGGCACTCCCACTCTCACCTAGACCTAGAATTTGACACACGACTGTAGCATCGGTGTCGTCCCAGTAATCATCACAGACGGTTCCCCATTGTCCGTTGTAATTGACTTCAACTCGACCTTCGATACTTGATGAGCCATCGACAAGACGGATTGATGCTGAATTTGGAAAAAGAGTTATACATCAAATGATTGGCACATCAATTTTTATATTCTGAATGTAGCTCTTTCCTTTCAAAAGGTTTTCGGGAAATTGTTTCTTGATATGCCTTAACCTAACCCTCAGTAAATTACGAGAACAATCTCGATTATTCAAGAGACGTAATTTGAATTCTTTTGAGTTCTAAGCTAACAAGTTACGCTAGAAATAGACTTCATTGCGCCATTCAAAAGACAAAACTCACAAGATGGTGTGCTGCCGCTCCCTAATCCATTCTCATTGATGTTGATCGCAATCTATTTTTAATATTTCTATTTGTATATCATATTAAAGAAGCAATTGTCACGATCTGAACTTGTATCATTGACGCTTTGTCATCAGTCCTGCCTTCATTTTTCAGTCAAAAGTAATGAAAAACAAAATTACCTAAGGATGTAAGGGTATCAAACAAAAATATATTAGTCCGTGGGCCAGAGGGGGCTACCGTGCACCCCCCCCCCTATGATCCTACTTCTTGGGTGTCATCTTGTTCATTGGGATCCATAATATCAGAAAAAAGACGTTCCCAAGAAAAAAACTCATTTGGACACTGTTTTTTTGCTCCTTATTTGAAGATATGTAAAAATGTCAGTTTTTCGTGTTTTGCACACTTTCTTAGGGTTTGTGAATTATGTGCTTACATTTTACCCTGTTTCTCAGCAGATATAACTCTAATCTCCACCAAATTAATACACAATCTTCATAAATCATACAACAATGGGTAGACAAAATTATTTTAATATGTTTTAATGTCTTCTATTATTAATGACGTCATAAATTTGCATATAATTAAATATGCAAATTTTCATCTCAAAATCTGTCAAAATTACCTGAAAGTTGTATTTTTTCGGTTATGTCATTGATAAATCATTGTAACCCCTAAAATGTGTATAATATTGTGTATTTATATCTCCCCTATACATGTTTCCTGCAAAAAATTATCTTTAGAAATGTTCGTCAATAGTTTTATTTCAGTTATCTTGCACGTCATGTTGACATTTTTTCCTCACAATGCTCTATTGGATATATATTATACATTGAGATTTAGCCACTATTTTCCTATTATGCCTTTATATTTGTCTTGAAAGCTGAACTATGTTCATTATATTTGCATGGATAAGATCCATATTCATGTTAGTCGACTGTTTGGTCTATAAATTTAATTTTGTTTGTCCTTGTATGTATTATTTATGTTTATGTTTTCATTACTGTGCATTTTTTTATTTACAGGCCCCTGATGTAAAACAGTTTATAGTGGTCATGTCCTGTTAAAATATGTTTCAATAAATAAATTAATATTTATTCAGTGATAGAGTCATACTCATAGAATTAGTATTTTCACACCCTGCTATATATATATATATATATATATATATACAATGGTCAAACAAGGAAAACTAATGCTGATTGATTAGAACAGTCAAATAAATGATAAAATAAGGAAAAGTTTAGAGGAAGAGAGATAGGATCGGGGAGAAAATGGAAAAAGAAAAGGGTCAAGGGACTTAGAGAGACAGAGAGAGAGAGAGAGAGAAATAGAGACGGGAGGGATAGAGAGAGCAAGATGGAGGGTCAGCCAGATAAGGGAGAGTGTTGATGGACATTACCAAGAACAATGTTACATGAATGACTCTTCAGTGGAAACAGAAGGCTATTCTACATGTATTCATCCTCCTCATCAGAAGAAACATAGAACGTCATTTACCCTCCTCAGCCCCCAACTATGGGTGCATATACTACAGCCACAGCGGCAGAAATTAATTCTGAGATGGACTTTTTACATACGTTGAACACTGAAAGTAAGTATTTTAATTTATTTCTTTGTATTTGTAAATATACAACACATAATTTATTTCAGCTTAACATGATGAAAATGCACGGAGGTGGTGATTCAATCAAATTACTATTCTGCATACTATTGAATGTGTGTTGTGATAACATATTACGTGTCTTACAGTCTGAACCATTGACGCATTAAATTAGTTTAAATGAAATTTGGATAAATGGTAACATCATACAGTCAATGGCCCGAATTCACAAAGGAGGTGTAAATTTAACCCATGGTTAAAATCTTCATTTACATTACCCATGGTCTAAAATTAGTGCAAATTAAACGCGACACAGTCAGAGGTCCAATTTTAGCCGCGCGCAAGGCAAGGTACGCTTAATTTGCTTTAATTTTTAGAGAAATGAGAGTTAAACCATGGGCTAAATTTAAGCCTCTATGAATCCAGGCCAACATATTACAGAAATTAATTAAGAAATGAGGCCAGTTGTTTTTTAATTTTGTTTCTCTGTATGATTGCTCTTTAGGTAATTTCATTTGGAGAACTAAGTCATTTTGGATCCTTTCTGGTCCTTAAAATGATGTTAGTCACAATGCATCGTAATTGATCGTAAGTACTCACGATTTTCTCTCGAACATTGCATCTTTTTTAAAAGCTAAAATCTGGGCTTAAACTTCATGTCAGTGTAAAATAGTTTTATTTTTATTATAATAATAACAAATTTTTCATAAGTCTGTAAAGATAACTGCATATCGATATGCCATTCAAAAAAACAGGTAGAGATAGATATAAAAAGTGTCTGGAGAAATAAACAAATAAATTAGAAATTTTCTAACTTTTCTGTAGTTCTTTTACCTATTTCCACATCCCGTTATCATTCATTTCCCCTTTTAACTCTCTACTCTATTTCTGATGAATAATTTTGTTCCTCTATATATCTTATCCGAATATAGCTGACTGACATCAACATCATGGATGCCAATCGACAGAGAGGGAAAAAAAGGAAGTGCACAGATTCTGTTGAGAGTTCGAAACAGAGGCAGCAGGTCTGTATCATTCACTGTCCAGGTGCAAAACATGGACCCTTCACGAACTTGTGTAACAGCAATGATCCAAATGAACGCTTGAACATGTTGAGAAGCATTCGGGATCGACGACTTTCCCAACCTCCTGACTCTCCATTTAGAATGGAAGAAGCATGCAACCTCATTCCTGAAGACATTTCAGATGTGCACGGTTATCATCGGGATTGCTACCAACTTTTTACCAAGAATCTCAATCGCCTGTCAGAGACCTCATTTGATACCACAAAACCTTCAACTTCCCGTCCACCCAGATCGTCACTTGATAAAGTCATCTTCAAACCTGATTGTATCTTTTGTAAAAAAGAAGGCCTGAAATCAATCAAAGTGAAAAGCTCTTGGACAACAGAAAGTACATCAATGTTTGATTTTGGTGGGTGGCAAAATGTTGTAGATGTTGCGGAGAGAGTTGGTGATGAAGACCTACTTCTGAGAATCCGGGGAGTTGATCTGTTTGCTGCAGAAGCAAGATACCACAAGAGCTGTCGGAAGAAATATGTGGCAAACCAAGAACCAGATAAATGGAGAAGTAGCAAGTACGATAAAGTAGCTAAACAGAGAACAATGGAAGAAGCCCACAAGAAGGCATTTGCTAGCATATGTACCTTTGTAGATGATGAAATATTGGGTAGGTGTAAGGTTTTGAGACTGAGTGACCTATGTGAGAAGTACAAAGATGAACTAAAGGACACTCCATTTGCTAATCCTAAGTACAGAGCAGGTAAGCTGAAAAGTAAGTTTGAGAAGCATGAAGCATATAAGGGTAAACTATCCTTTTGTAAAGTAAGCGCTAAGGGAAAGTTCGAAAGCTTTTTGGTGTATAGTACTGGAATGAGTCTAGACAAGGCAATACAAAGTACACATGAGCTTCATTCTGTTGATGCAATTACTGATGTAGCACTTTTCCTCCGCAGAATAATTACCAGTGCATTTGAAGAGTCTAAAGATATTCCCTGGCCCTCAACCGCAGAAGCCCTTGCCGGTATAGATGACCACATTCCCACTGAGCTAGAGAAGTTTCTGAACCATTTGTTGAGTGGAAATCCATCTTGCCCATCACAAAGAGTGACTAGACTTGTCAGATCTCTTGGGCAAGATATATGTAGGGCAGCCACAAATGGAAAGTGGAAAATGTCCAAGCATATTCTGGTATGCATGACTCTGAGACATCTCTTTCGCAGTGCTCAATTGATCACACTCATGAATCGCCTTGGTCATTCAGAAAGCTATTCATTTTCACTTGAGCTTGAAACTGCCATTGCACAAGCGCTACAGCAGACTTCCAGTATTCTATCTAGACAAGTAGTCCGCCATCCCGTGGAGCCATCAGTCTTCCATTCAGACTTTGACAATTTCGACCAATACATTTCAAGCTTGACTGGTTCTGGCTCGATCCACACAGCCCATGGGATTATGCTGCAGGAGATTTCTAACAATGAGACAGTTGAATCTTCAAATAGCACAATACCCTCAGTAGCACGTACCAAAGAACGTTCCTTGGCTATTGAACATGAAGGTCCTCTTCCATCTTGTTATGTCAACCGGAAAGCAAATCCAGATTTTCGTGTGCAGCATTGGAAGCATGATGCTGGATATGAAGCATTCAAACAATGTGCCCGAAATGATGTTGCGTGGATGCTTGGCCGGAAAAGTAGTGGAGAGACAGGTCAAGAGCTTCCAGGTTGGGCTGGATTTGTGTCAGTAACAGGGGTGGTGCCTTCAAATCTGACCACCATAGATTACTATCCTGTAATAAACTATCCCATAACAGAATTTGATACAATCCAAGAGTGCCTGAGAGCTGCAGAAGAAGCAAGCCGCGAGGTTGGACAAGACTATGTCATAACAACATTTGACTTGGGTGTCTGCATGAAGGCATACCCTCTCATTTGGAGTCATCCAGAAAAGTACAAGAAACACATTGTGTTGATTGGCACTTTCCATGTGATTTGTGCATACACCAAGATGCTTGGAAAGAAGATGGTAGGATCCGGACTTGAAGATATCCTCTTGGAAGCTGGCCTCATGTCTTCTGGGTCTATGAAAGGCGTCATGACAGGAAAGAACTATGACAGGAGTCTGCATTGTCACAAGACAATGGTGGAGTGCTTAGAAAGGCTCCTTTTTGATGAGTTCCTGTCAATGGCTGGAAAAGATGATGCACTTTCTGGTATACCTGAGGAATCAAAGAATCTCTTCCAAGAGCTAATTCGATCACCAACAAAGGAGAGGCTTGCTGAGGTTGTGGCTAATGCAGATCTGAAGACGTTAATAGAGTCATATGAGAGCTTCAAAGCTGATGTTCGAAATGGATCTCTTGGGAAGACGGCACAATTTTGGATGTCGTATGTTGATTGCGTTTGGATTGCTCTTTCATTGATAAGGTCTGTGAAAGAAAACAACTTTCCATTGTACTTGCACTGCCTGTTCCTTATGCCTGACCTGTTCTTCACATTTGGTGGTCACAATTACTCCCGATATCTGACCTACCTTGCTGTATTCTTGGCGAACATTGAAGATTCGCATCCTGGTGCCTTGACATTGCTCGAAGGAGGTGCAATAAGTGTTGCCAGGTCACTCATTCCAGGGAACCGATGTGCTGTCGACAAGACAATCGAGGAGACAATCATGAAACATGGCAAATCTCGCGGTGGGGGCGGTAGTGGTGTTGGTCTCTCTGGCATAATGGAGAACTACAGTGCATATCAGAGGTGGGCTCGAACATCAACAGAAAGAGCACGCTTTCTCACGGCAACTCTCAGCCTCGCAGATATGACGTTTGATTCTCACCGTGGAAATAAACACAGGGATCAACAACCCACTCAGATAAGGAAAGGTGAGGGATGTGTAAAGAAGGCTATAGATGCTGTCAAGAGCTTCCTCAATCCTTTTGATGTTGATGACAAGAATGGGTTGTATGTACTCTCTTCCGGTGCCCGCGTTCCAGCTGAGGTTGAGAAAGATGTCATGCATGCAATTACCACAGGTAAAGACCAGAAAGAGATGTTCATCAAAGAGCGATTAGAGAAAAAGACATCGTTCTCTGACCCCATCAAGAACCTGAAGCTCAAAACCATGGCAGAGACAAAAAAGAGAGTCAAGCTTAAAACATCCCAACGAAAAGTGATAGAGTACAAGCAACAGGGGGACATTGCTTTCCAGCTGATGGTGAAGGCACAAAGTTCTGGCAGCCAACTTGATCTACGAGAAATCATGAAATATTCTTTGACCCCTGTTCCCTACTCAATTGGAACATCAGACAACTTCTTTGCTAAGACAGATAAAGCTAAGGGCCTACACTATCTTCTGAAGGATGTAGAGAACTCGCAGCCTCCACCCACTGACAAGACCTTGGTAGTGGAAGATGGTAATGCTGTTTTCTACTACCTAAAAGGGATGCCTGCAAACTTCCACGATATTTGCATCAAAATTCACAATGTAGTGTCATCCAACTGCGATGTCATCTTCAGCACAGACATGTACAAGCCAGACTCTGTGAAGTCAAGTGAACGGACACGGCGTGGGTGTGCAGAGAAGAGGATGATTACAGGAGGCAAAACCAAAAGACCACCTGACTGGAAGCAGTTCCTAACAAATGATGAAAATAAGAAACAACTTATTCAAGTTATTCTGGATGTCTGGAGTGAGCAGGACATGGCTAAGAGGCTGTATGGAAAAAAGATGATATTCATCAAAGAAGGAGAAGCCCAAATGCTCACTTCTCAGAATGGGAGAGAGACACTGCGTTCTGAGATTCCATCTCTCAACTCAACCCAAGAAGAAACAGATTCACGCGTGATCCTTTACTGCCAATACGGTAAGGAGCAAGGCTATGATCATGTGCAGATCAAAAGCCCAGATACTGATATATTTTTCATATTGCTTCATTACGCGCATCTCATTCCAGACATCACATTACTCTTCCACACAGGGAGAGGCAACAAGCAGCGGCTCATTGATGTCACTCATTTTGCCAAGCAGTCCTCCCCTGAATATTGCACAGCACTCCTTGGACTACATGCTTTCTCAGGCTGTGACTCCACAAGCGCCTTTAAAGGAATTGGCAAAGTCAAGCCAATCAAACTGTTGCAGCAACGCAACAAATTTGTCAAACCTCTGGCAGAACTTGGTGATTCGTGGACTGTACCAGAGGAGTTGATGTCCAACCTAGAGGAATTCACATGTACCCTGTATGGGAAACCAAGATTTACTGATGTAGATGAGGCTAGATTTGCTCTGATGAAGGAAAAGTGTAAAAGTGATGGAGAGAAAATCAGCAAGTCGGTCCACGTAGACTTGTCTTCATTTCCTCCATGCAAGGACAGTCTTCAACAACACATCAGGAGGGTGAACTACCAGGTGGCGATATGGAAGAGGGCTCATGAGCCTAAACCCATCGTTCCACCACCAACAGATGGTCATGGTTGGACAAAGAATGTAGACAAATTAGAACCACTATGGTCAACGAGAGATGTTCTGCCCCCAAGGTTGGTAGATGTTCTTGACTGTATGGGAGACGATGACTCAAGTGATGACGACTACGATTCAGATCATGATGACCAGTACTATGACTCGGACCAAGACACAGATAGCGAAGATGAAGTCTGAAAAGGCTTCATTATTTGTTTCAGTAGTATGACATTTTTTGCCTTTGTGATAATTGATGTTAATAAACATGCCCCATAGAAAATGACAAAACCATCAAATTTTAGGTAAATATTAGCAATATAAATCTGGTTCAAACACAGAAAGATTATGGGCTCTTAGTTTCGTCACGTGAATATGTTCCATCACTTATAACTGAAGGACACTCAATGCTGTATAAGGAATTTCATTAATGATTTCTTGTGATATCTAATTTTCTTTCCCTTGATTCTTCCGTCTTGAATTAATAAATGTACATTATGTACGATAAACCGATAACTGCATAAGATTAACTAGAAAGATGGTCGACACCAAAGTGGTCACATGGTTAAAATGTATTTTCAAAGAATGCAAAGTTTCAACAATAATCATTATGTAATCCTTAAATTTGAGTTTGATAAGCCATTTCTTTGTTTATCCTTGAACGAAGTACTTGAGGAAAACATTATGTCACTGTTGACCTGAAAAATGTACCTGTGTTTCTTTTTGTATGAATAGAAATATAGAAACGTAGTACATTTAAGGTTTTGTTAAACATTTGAATATCAGTCTTTGTTATATACCATGATTACAATCGGATTCATTCACTGATTGGTTTTGCTCAATGTGTCATGTCAGTTGAAATTCATGAAATTGTACCCGTATACGTTCGTTCATTCGTTTGTATAATCAACAACCCTATGTTATAGCATATGATGCGATTAATGACCAACAGTTGAATAAGTTGGCTTGGTCTGAGCCCCCCCCCCCCCCCCTTCAGGCTGATGCATTTTTATAACTATCAAAAAACAATATTGTATGCGGTAATATACTGTATTGAATTTATAAACATAATAGGAATAGAAATCATCCTACGGTCAGCGAAAGAAGATCACTGTCATTTTACATATCATTTTACTTCACAATAACAAAGATGTACAGAGTACTTCCCTTCATGATATCATAAAAGGAAAAGGAAGTATATTGCATTTCAAATAGTGTGCATATGTTATGTGTATTTTCAGGAGAACTGGAATTCGATTTGATTTAGTTTGATGTTAACAGGCTAGCCCTAACAGTAATTAAAATACTGCTTGTCGAGCTTTTGTTCTTATAAACAGGAACTTTGATTGATTGTACATTATATATATACAAAATGTAGAAACCGTAATGCGGGGGAGGGGGTTAATTACGAGTTGACTGATGCTATTTTGTTTGCGGGAAACATCAGATAACATATCAATGAATAATTTTACACGAAATCAGGGGGTTAGCAACTTATTTCATGATTATAGCAGACAAAATACAACTTTCAGATAATTGTGACAGATTTTGAGATGAAAATTTGCATATTTAATTATATGCAAATTTATGACGTCATTAATAATAGAAGACAATAAAACATATTAAAATAATTTTGTCTACCCATTGTTGTATGATTTATGAAGATTATGTATTTATTTGGTGAAGATTAGAGTTATATCTGCTGAGAAACAGGGTAAAATGTAAGCGCATAATTCACAAACCCTAAGAAAGTGTGCAAAACACGAAAAACTGACATTTTTACATATCTTCAAATAAGGAGCAAAAAAACAGTGTCCAAATGAGTTTTTTTTTTGGGAACGTCTTTTTTCTGATATTATGGATCCCAATGAACAAGATGACACCCAAGAAGTAGGATCATAGGGGGGGTGCACGGTAGCCCCCTCTGGCCCACGGACTATATTGTTTAAGGCTTCCAAATAACAAGACTCACCAGATGATGTGCTGATGCATTGCACTCCTGCGTCTTCAGCGTGCACACAGTTGTGACTGAGTGGTCCGTTACTAGGACACGAGAAAAGATCCGTTTCAGTTCCGACACACTGAACATTGTCCAGAATGATGTCTCCACTACCTTCTCCAAATGCAGCACTACCAAGGGCACTCCCAGTCTCACCTAGACCAAGAATTTGACACACCACTGCCGCATCGGTGTCGTCCCACAGATCATCACAGACGGTTCCCCATTGTCCGTTGTAATTGATTTCGACTCGGCCTTCGTTACTTGATGAGCCATCGACAAGACGGATTGCACCTAAACGTTGCGAGAGTGTAAAACATCAAATTAGTTGCACACCAACTTTCATAGTTCTGCCTATAGCTCTGTCTTTTTTTTTTTAAATTGCAGAATTATTGCTTGAAATACTTTGACATCACCCTCAATAAGTCATCAGAACAATTGTGTACATCCTAGAGAAGCAACTTGAGATCTTCAGACTTGAAAGCCTCAAAGTTACACTAAAAAGATTGCCGTTCCCTTAAAGCTGACAAATTACACTAGAAATAGATTTTGTTTCGCCTTTTAAATGACAAAACTCAGCAGATAGTGTGCTGCCGCTCCCTTATCCATTCGTATTGATTTTGACCGCAATCTATTGTAAAGAATTCTGTCAGTGTACTATATTAAAGAAGGAACTGTTAACGCTCTGATCCTTGGCATTGACCCTTTGCCGTTAGTTCTGCCGTCACTTTTTAGTCAAAGGTAATTATATGTATAGATTACCCAATAATTTAAAGGTATCAGGCAGAAGAATTGTTTAGGCTTTCAAGTGACAAAACTCACCAGATGGTGTGCTGATGCATTGCACTCCTGCGTCTTCACGATGCCCGCAGTTGTGATTGAGTGGTCCGTTATTAGGACACGAAAAAAGATCCGTTTCAGTTCCAACACACTGAACGTCGTCCAGAATGATGTCTCCACTACCTTCTCCAAATGCAGCACTCCCAAGGGCACTCCCGCTCTCACCTAGACCAAGAATTTGACACACCACTGCCGCATCGGTGTCGTCCCAGAAATCATCACAGACGGTTCCCCATTGTCCGTTGTAATTGACTTCAACTCGACCTTCGTTACTTGATGAGCCATCGACTAGACGGATTGATACTGAATTTGGCGAGAGTGTAATAATACAGCATTTATTATGCGCCATCGATCTAGTAAACTATTATGAGGCACAGAGAGAAATTATTACCCTGGCTTTAGCACAGCTGCCATTAAGGAGCTCTAGCATTTCAAGGAGTTAATTCCTACCAGGTACCCACTTACATCTTTAGGGTCGAGTGTGGCGAATGTAGATCAATGTCTTGCTAAAGGATATTAGTGCCGCGGCGGGACTCGAACTGCGGATCTTGTGATCGAACGTCTGGTGACGTGTCCATACGACCACGACACCTCTGGCGTAATACCTAAGATTATTCGCACACCAAGTTATAATTCGCATTAAGCTCTTTTCTTTTCTTTTTGTTAAGTCTTTTGGGAAATTATTTCTTGAAATACTTTGATCGAATCTTTACTAAGGTATAAGAACAATCTCCTTTATCCTAGATATGCAACTTGAGTTATTTTGACTTAACATCTAACAAGTTGAAATAGATGTCGTTTTGCCTTGCAAATAACGAAACTCACCAAATGGTTTACTGCTGCTCTTAAACTTATTTTCATTGATGTTGATCGCGATCTTCTTTAGATATTTGTGTATGTGTATCATGTTAAAGAAGCAACCGTTTATTATCTAAAGCGTAGAATTGGCATTTTGCAAGCAGGCTCACCTTCGTTATTTTCAGTCAAAGGTAATGGAGTATATACATTTCCCAATATTGTCAAGTTATCAAACAAAAAGATACCTTTTAGGCTATCAAATGACAACACTCACCTGATGGTGTGCTGCTGCATTGCACTCCTGCGTCTTCTCCATGCCCGCAGTTGTGACTGAGTGGTCCGTTACTAGGACACGAGAAGAGATCCGTTTCAGTTCCGACACACTGCACATTGTCCAGAATGATGTCTCCACTACCTTCTCCAAATGCAGCACTCCCAAGGGCACTCCCAGTCTCACCTAGACCCAGAATTTGACACACAACTGTAGCATCGGTGTCGTCCCACAGATCATCACAGACGGTTCCCCATTGTCCGTTGTAATTGACTTCGACTCGACCTTCGTTACTTGATGAGCCATCGACAAGACGGATTGCACCTAAACGTTGCGAGAGTGTAAAACATCAAATTAGTTGCACACCAAATTTCATAGTTCTGCCTATAGCTCTGTCTTTTTAATTTTTTTGCAGAATTATTGCTTGAAATACTTTGACATCACCCTGAATAAATCATCAGAACAATTGTGTACATCCTAGAGAAGCAACTTGAAATCTTCAGACTTGAAAGCCTCAAAGTTACATTAAAAAGATTTCCCTTTCTTAAAGGCTGACAAGTTACACTAGAAATAGATTTTGTTTCGCCTTTTAAATGACAAAACTCAGCAGATAGTGTGCTGTCGCTCCCTTATCCATTCGTATTGATTTTGATCGCAATCTATTGTAAAGAATTCTGTCAGTGTACTATATTAAAGAAGGAACTGTTAACGCTCTGATCCTTGGCATTGACCCTTTGCCGTTAGTTCTGCCGTCACTTTTTAGTCAAAGGTAATTTTATGTATAGATTACCCAATAATTTAAAGGTATCAGGCAGAAGAATTGTTTAGGCTTTCAAGTGACAAAACTCACCCGATGATGTGCTGATGCATTGCACTCCTGCGTCTTCACCATGCCCGCAGTTGTGATTGAGTGGTCCGTTATTAGGACACGAAAAAAGATCCGTTTCAGTTCCAACACACTGAACGTCGTCCAGAATGATGTCTCCACTCCCTTCTCCAAATGCAGCACTCCCAAGGGCACTCCCGCTCTCACCTAGGCCAAGAATTTGACACACCACTGCCGCATCGGTGTCGTCCCAGAAATCATCACAGACGGTTCCCCATTGTCCGTTGTAATTGACTTCAACTCGACCTTCGTTACTTGATGAGCCATCGACTAGACGGATTGATACTGAATTTGGCGAGAGTGTAATAATACAGCATTTATTATGCGCTATCGATCTAGAAAACTATTCTGAGGCACAGAGGGAGATTATTACCCTGGCTTTAGCACAGCTGCCATTAAGGCGCTCTAGCATTTCAAGGAGTTAATTCCTGCCAGGAACCCATGTACATAATCTGGGTTGAGTGGGGCGAATGTAGATCAATGTCTTGCCAAAGGACATTAGTGCCGTGGCGGGACTCGAACCGCGGACCTTGTGATCGACAGTCCGCTGACGTATCTACTCGATCATCCGCACGTTATATATTTTGCATGAAACTATTTGATCGAAAGTTTAGTCAGTCATAAGAACAATCTCCTCTATCCTAGAGCTGCAACTTGAGTTCTTTGACTCAAAAGCTAACAAATTACACTTGAAATAGGTTTCGTATTGCTTTATAACTGATGTAACTCACCAAATGGTATGCCGCCGTTCCTAAACTCATTCTCATTGATGTGGTTTGCAATCTTTTTTTAATATATGTGTCAGAGTATCATATTAAAGAAGCAACTGTTTACGATATAAATCGTAGCATTGATAATTTGCCATCAGTCTTACCTTCATTTTTTTAGTCAAAGGTAGTGGAGTATGTAAATTTGTATTAATATTGTCAAGATATCAAACAAAAATATATGTTTAAGGCTTTCAAATAACAGCACTCACCGGATGGTGTGCCGCTGCATTGCACTCCTGCGTCTTCACCATGCCCGCAGTTGTGACTGAGTGGTCCGTTACTAGGACACGAGAAGAGATCCGTTTCAGTTCCGACACACTCAACATTGTCCAGAATGATGTCTCCACTACCTGGTCCAAAGGCAGCACTTCCAAGGGCACTCCCGCTCTCACCTAGACCAAGAATTTGACACACGACTGCTGCATCGGTGTCATCCCAGAGATCATCACAGACGGTTCCCCATTGTCCGTTGTAATTGACTTCAACTCGACCTTCGTTACTTGATGAGCCATCGACTAGACGGAGTGATGCTGAGTGGGTTGGCAAAATAGTAGTATATTAAATCATTCACACACCAAGTTTAATATTTTGCCTATATCTCTTTCATTTTAAAGTGTTCTCAGAAATTATTGTTTTGAATATCTTGACATATGCTTCATTAAGTCATAAGAACAATCTTGTTAATCCTAGAAACGTAACTTGAAATCTTTTGAATTATAAGCTTATAAGTTAAAACAGAAATTGATACCATATTGGCTTTCAAATAACGAAACTCACCAGATGGTGTGCTGCTGCTCCTAAACCCATTCTGAATGGTATTGATCGCAATATTTGTTAGAATATTCCTGTCGATGTGTCATATTAAAGAAGCAACTATTTACGTTCTAAACCTGTTTATTGACCCTTTGCCGTCGGTTTTACTTTCTTTTTTTCATTCACAGGTAATGAAATATACAAATAACCTAGTATTGTTAAGTAATAAAACAGAAAGAAATCGTTAAGGCTTTCAAATGACAACACTCACCTGATGGTGTGCTGCTGCATTGCACTCCTGCGTCTTCACCATGCCCGCAGTTGTGACTGAGTGGTCCGTTACTAGGACACGAGAAGAGATCCGTTTCAGTTCCGACACACTCAACATTGTCCAGAATGATGTCTCCACTACCTTGTCCAAAGGCAGCACTTCCAAGGGCACTCCCAGTCTCACCTAGACCAAGAATTTGACACACGACTGTAGCATCGGTGTCGTCCCAGAGATCATCACATACGGTGCCCCATTGTCCGTTGTAATTGACTTCAACTCGACCTTCGTTATTTGATGAGCCATCGACTAGACGGATTGATGCTAAAGTTGGCAAAAGAGTAGTACATCAAATCACTGGCACACCAAGTTTTATATTCTGCATATAACTCTTTTTTGAATTATTTTGCGAAAATTGTTCTTGAAATACCTTGACCTAACCCTAATTAAGTCACAATAACAATATTGTCATCCTAGAGAAGCAACTTGAAATTCTTTGACTTAAAGGCAGGCACGTAGCCAGAGTTCGATGTTTGGGGGGGGGGGCACCTACATGTAATCGATCGAGGTAAAAAAAAGGGGTCTAAAAAAGTTCAACCGATCTTGGAAATTTTAGGGGGGGCACGTGCCCCCCCCCCCCCCCGTGGCTACGTGCCTGCTTAAAGGTAATGCAAAGTTTTGAAAAATTTTGAAAATTGTCATGCATTTGGGCGCCCCTGTGGATGTATTAAAAGCACTCGAAAATTAAGCCCCTTAAACATTTCTCGAAGTACCTTGACCTAACCCATAGTAAGTCATAAGAACAATCTTGTCTACCCGAGAGAAGCAACTTGAAATATGTAGACTTAAAAGCTTATAAGTTATACTGGGGAAAAAATCGTTTTGCATTTAAAATGGCAAATTTTATCAAATGGTGTACTTGATGAGCCATCGATAAAACTGATTGAACCTATTGAAGTAGCTTTAATTACATGAAAGGTGTATGTGGTAGTTTTAATTACACATATGCACAAGGAATGTTTGTAGCTTCGTCTTTTAACAATGTAGGCTTACGTGCACGCCTGAAAATGCTTAATATAGATTTGTTTTTCTTACCATCCTCATAACACGACGCAAGACAGTGGTATGGAATGTAACATATAATATTCATGATCAATAAATCTTAGTTCTATAAGACACAGCATGATTACAATTACTACCTATACTAAGTATCAATACTGTCAATATTTAATTTGTAAGAATTTTTCCAATTTCGATTTCCATAGTTGTACGGATGAAGGTTACTGTTTGATCCTCCAATGAATATAAAATGAAATGATATCGATCACACACTAAAATTATGACCACTTAAAGTTTTGCGATGGATTATCAATGTTAAAGAGAACTCACGTTCCTGACAGAACTCCCCACTAAATCCAAGCTGGCAAATACACATCGGAAGGTCTGCTGGAGCAATACAGCTACCACCATTATGACAAAAGGAGTTGGAACAAGGATTTCGAGCTAAAATGGAGAAAACATGACATTAAAAAAACTAAACTGAACGATGACAGATACAATCGAATGATTACAAGAGTTAAGAGTAATCAACAAACTTCCTGATGCATGGACTTGCTATATAAAAAAGCGTCTAGCTAAAGCAATTGTTTTCATATTAATATAAAATATATGAAAGAATGTCACTACTTTTATTTAGAAATAATCACGAAAATAGGTTAATTTCATTAATTAGTAATTTGGCTAATGGGGTAGGAAAAAAAATATCTGCAAGTTTTAAGCAAATTTTTAATGTAAAGGTAAAATGAATGTCGATTGATATTGAAAATATCAACAAGTTTTATTCGCATCGCTCTTAAAAAATAATTCCATAAGCGTAAAAATCATTACGAATAGAGTATTGTCAAAAACATCTCATGTCACCACCGATAAAATTTCGCTTTTTATCATCTACCAGATTTATTTGCAACATGTTTCTAAAACAAATGTTAAATAATACTTGTAAAGAACAATGGTCCGAGAAAGCTCGAAGTGAGAGACAAATGCATACCAAATTGAAAAAAGACTTAATCATACCAAACTCCAAATAGATAATATCAATATTGCGTTCCCTTTCTTTCATTTTAATAATCATACTGCCTTACTTACAATGTTCACACTCGTCTCCAAAGAATCCAGGTCTACATAAACAGATTGGACCAGTGGGTTGCATTTGGCAGGTTCCATTATTAAAGCAGATGATCTCATCACAAGACGTCACATTGTAATATACACAAACCAGGATAAACAATCAACACACAATTAGGCAATGTAAGTCTGTTCAAACGGTATTGAACAAAATATGAAAAGGTTAACGCTTAAGACTTTCAAATAACAACACCTACACACTGTACCGGATGATGTGCTGTTGCATCGTACCCCAGCGTCTTCACCGTGCCCGCAGTTGTGACTGAGTGGCCCGTTACTAGGACACGAGAAGAGATCCGTTTCAGTTCCGACACACTGAACATTGTCCAGAATGATGTCTCCACTACCTTGTCCAAAGGCAGCATTACTAAGGGCACTCCCGGTCTCACCTAGACCAAGAATTTGACACACGACTGCTGCATCGGTGTCGTCCCAGAGATCATCACAGACGGTTCCCCATTGTCCGTTGTAATTGACTTCGACTCGACCTTCGTTACTTGATGAGCCATCGACAAGACGTATTGATGCTGTCAAGGCTGACAAAAGAGTAATACATAAAAACATTCGCACACCAAGTTTGATTCTCTGCCTAGTATATCTCTTGCCTTTTGAAGTGTTTTGAGAAATTAGTTTTTGGAATAACTTGACCGTACCCTCATTAAGTCATCAGAAAAATCTCGTTCATCTTAGAAACGTAACTTAAAATCTTTTGAATAAAAAGCTTATAAGTTATAACAGGAATGATACCATTTTGGCTTTTAGATGACTTAAATCACCAGATGGTGTGCTGCCGCTCCTAAACCTATTCCCATTGGTGTTGATCGCAATGCTTTTTAAATATTTATGTAAGTATATCAAATTAAAGAAGCAACTGTTTACGATATAAACCGTAACATTGACAATTAACCATCAGTCTTACCTTCACTTTTTTAGTCAAAGCTGGTTGAGTATGTACATTTTTATAAATATTGTCAAGATATCAAACAAAAATATATCTTTTAGGCTTTCAAAAGACAACACTCACCGGATGGTGTGCTGCTGCATTGCACTCCTGCGTCTTCACCATGCCCGCAGTTGTGAATGAGTGGTCCGTTATTAGGACACGAGAAAAGATCCGTTTCAGTTCCGACACACTCAACATTGTCCAGAATGATGTCTCCACTCCCTTGTCCAAAGGCAGCATTACTAAGGGCACTCCCAGTATCACCTAGACCAAGAATTTGACACACGACTGCTGCATCGGTGTCGTCCCACAGATCATCACAGACGGTTCCCCATTGTCCGTTGTAATTGACTTCAACTCGACCTTCGTTACTTGATGAGCCATCGACTAGACGGATTGATACTGAATTTGGCGAGAGTGTAGTAATACAGCATTTATTATAGGCCATCGATCTAGTAAGCTATTCTGAGGCACAGAGATAAATTATTAACCTGGCTTTAGCACAGCCGCCATTAAGGTGCTCTAGCATTTCAAGGAGTTAATTCCTACCAGGTACCCACTGACATTTTCTGGGTCGATTATGGCGAATGTAGATCAATGTCTTGCCAAAGGATATTAGTGCAGTGGCGGGAATCGAACAGCGAACCTTGTGATCGACAGTCTGGTGACGTGTCCATACGACCGCGACACCTCTAGTATAATACATCAGATTATTTGCACACCAAGTTATAATTTGCATAAAGCTCTTTCCTTTTTGTTTAATCTTTTGGGAAATTATTTCTTGAAATACTTTGATCGAACCTTTAGTAAGTCATAAGAACAATCTCCTTTATCCTAGAGATGCAACTTGAGTTCATTTGACTTATCATCTAACAAGTTACAGTTGAAATAGATGTCGTTTTGCCTTGCAAATAATAAAACTCACCAAAGGGTATGCTGCCGTTCCTAAACTCATTCTCATTGATGTTGATCGCAATCTTTTTTTTAATATTTGTGTCAGTGTATCATATTAAAGAAGTTAGCGTTTACGATCTAAACTGTAGCATTGACAATTTGCCATCAGTCTTACCTTCATTATTTTAGTCAAAGGTAATGGAGTATATAAATTTCCAAATATTGTCAAGTTATCAAACAAACAGATAACTTTTAGGCTTTCAAATGACAACACTCACCGGATGATGTGCTGCTGCATTGCACTCCTGCGTCTTCACCATGCCCGCAGTTGTGAATGAGTGGTCCGTTATTAGGACACGAGAAAAGATCCGTTTCAGTTCCGACACACTCAACATTGTCCAGAATGATGTCTCCACTCCCTTGTCCAAAGGCAGCATTACTAAGGGCACTCCCGCTCTCACCTAGACCAAGAATTTGACACACGACTGCTGCATCGGTGTCGTCCCACAGATCATCACAGACGGTTCCCCATTGTCCGTTGTAATTGACTTCAACTCGACCTTCGTTACTTGATGAGCCATCGACTAGACGGATTGATACTGAATTTGGCGAGAGTGTAGTAATACAGCATTTATTATGGGCCATCGATCTAGTAAGCTATTCTGAGGCACAGAGATAAATTATTAACCTGGCTTTAGCACAGCTGCCATTAAGGCGCTCTAGCATTTCAAGGAGTTAATTCCTACCAGGTACCCACCGACATCTTCTTGGTCAATTATGGCGAATGTAGATCAATGTCTTGCTAAAGGATATTAGTGCCGCGGCGGGAATCGAACAGCGAACCTTGTGATCGACAGTCTGGTGACGTGTCCATACGACCGCGACACCTCTAGTATAATACATCAGATTATTTGCACACCAAGTTATAATTTGCATCAGCTCTTTCCTTTTTGTTTAGTCTTTTGGGAAATTATTTCTTGAAATATTTGATCGAACCTTTAGTAAGTCATAAAAACAATCTCCTTTATCCTACAGATGCAACTTGAGTTATTTTGACTTAACATCTAACAAGTTACAGTTGAAATAGATGTCGTTTTGCCTTGCAAATAATAAAACTCACCAAAGGGTATGCTGCCGTTCCTAAACTCATTCTCATTGATGTTGATCGCAATCTTTTTTAAATATTTGTGTCAGTGTATCATATTAAAGAAGCAACCGTTTCTTTTCTAAAGCGTAGCATTGGCATTTTGCCATCAGTCTTACCTTCTTTTTTTTCAGTCAAAGGGAATGGAGTATATACATTTCCCAATACTGTCAAGTTGTCAAACAAAAAGATACCTTTTAGGCTTTCAAATGACAACACTCACCGGATGGTGTGCTGATGCATTGCACTCCTGCGTCTTCTCCATGCCCGCAGTTGTGACTGAGTGGTCCGTTACTAGGACACGAGAAGAGATCCGTTTCAGTTCCGACACACTCAACATTGTCCAGAATGATGTCTCCACTACCTTGTCCAAAGGCAGCACTCCCAAGGGCACTCCCGCTCTCACCTAGACCAAGAATTTGACACACGACTGCTGCATCGGTGTCGTCCCAGAGATCATCACAGACGGTTCCCCATTGTCCGTTGTAATTGACTTCAACTCGACCTTCGTTACTTGATGAGCCATCGACTAGACGGATTGATACTGAATTTGGTGAGAGTGTAATAATACAGCATTTAGTATGCGCCATCGATCTAGTAAGCTATTGTGAGGCACAGAGATAAATTATTAACCTGGCTTTAGCACAGCTGCCATTAAGGAGCTCTAGCATTTCAAGGAGTTAATTCCTACCAGATACCCACTTACATCTTCTGGGTCGAGTGTGGCGAATGTAGATCAATGTCTTGCTAAAGGATATTAGTGCCGCGGCGGGACTCGAACCGCGAACCTTGTGATCGACAGTCTGGTGACGTGTCCATACGACCACGACACCTCTAGTGTAATACATCAGATTATTCGCACACCAAGTTTTAATTCGCATTAAGCTCTTTCCTTTTTGTTAAGTCTATGGGGAAATTATTTCTTGAATACTTTGATCGAACCTTTAGTAATTCATAAGAACAATCTTTTTTTATCCTTGAGATGCAACTTGAGTTATTTTGACTAAACATCTAACAAGTTAAAATAAAAGTCGTTATGCCTCGCAAATAACGAAACTCACCAATTTAATTGTTTACTGCCGCTCCTAAACTTATTTTCATTGATGTTGATCGCGAACTTGTTTAGATATTTGTGCATGTGTATCATGTTAAAGAAGCAACCGTTTATTATCTAAAGCGTAGCTTTGGATTTTTCCATCAGTTTTATCCTTTTTTTCAGTCAAAGGTAATGGAGTATACACATTTCCTAATATTGTCAAGTTATCAAACAAAAAGATGCCTTTAAGGCTTTTAAATGACAACACTCACCGGATGGTGTGCTGATGCATTGCACTCCTGCGTCTTCACTATGCCCGCAGTTGTGATTGAGTGGTCCGTTACTAGGACACGAGAAGAGATCCGTTTCAGTTCCAACGCACTCAACATTGTCCAGAATGATGTCTCCACTCCCTTGTCCAAAGGCAGCATTACTAAGGGCACTCCCAGTCTCACCTAGACCAAGAATTTGACACACCACTGCCGCATCGGTGTCGTCCCAGAGATCATCACAGACGGTTCCCCATTGTCCGTTGTAATTGACTTCAACTCGACCTTCGTTACTTGATGAGCCATCGACTAGACGGATTGATACTGAATTTGGCGAGAGTGTAATAATACAGCATTTAGTATGCGCCATTGATCTAGTAAACTATTCTGAGGCACAGAGATAAATTATTACCATGGCTTTAGCACAGCTGCCATTAAGGAGCTCTAGCATTTCAAGAAGTTAATTCCTACCAGATACCCACTTACATCTTCTGGGTCGAGTGTGGCGAATGTAGATCAATGTCTTGCTAAAGGATATTAGTGCCGCGGCGGGACTCGAACCGCGGACCTTGTGTGTGATCGACAGTCTGGTGACGTGTCCATACGACCACGACACCTCTAGTGTAATACATCAGATTATTCGCACACCAAGTTTTAATTCGCATTAAGCTCTTTCCTTTTTGTTAAGTCTATGGGGAAATTATTTCTTGAAAGACTTTGATCGAACCTTTAGTAATTCATAAGAACAATCTTTTTTTATCCTTGAGATGCAACTTGAGTTATTTTGACTAAACATCTAACAAGTTAAAATAAAAGTCGTTATGCCTCGCAAATAACAAAACTCACCAATTTAATTGTTTACTGCCGCTCCTAAACTTATTTTCATTGATGTTGATCGCGAACTTGTTTAGATATTTGTGCATGTGTATCATGTTAAAGAAGCAACCGTTTATTATCTAAAGCGTAGCTTTGGATTTTTCCATCAGTTTTATCCTTTTTTTCAGTCAAAGGTAATGGAGTATACACATTTCCTAATATTGTCAAGTTATCAAACAAAAAGATGCCTTTAAGGCTTTTAAATGACAACACTCACCGGATGGTGTGCTGATGCATTGCACTCCTGCGTCTTCACTATGCCCGCAGTTGTGATTGAGTGGTCCGTTACTAGGACACGAGAAGAGATCCGTTTCAGTTCCAACGCACTCAACATTGTCCAGAATGATGTCTCCACTCCCTTGTCCAAAGGCAGCATTACTAAGGGCACTCCCAGTCTCACCTAGACCAAGAATTTGACACACCACTGCCGCATCGGTGTCGTCCCAGAGATCATCACAGACGGTTCCCCATTGTCCGTTGTAATTGACTTCAACTCGACCTTCGTTACTTGATGAGCCATCGACTAGACGGATTGATACTGAATTTGGCGAGAGTGTAATAATACAGCATTTAGTATGCGCCATTGATCTAGTAAACTATTCTGAGGCACAGAGATAAATTATTACCATGGCTTTAGCACAGCTGCCATTAAGGAGCTCTAGCATTTCAAGAAGTTAATTCCTACCAGATACCCACTTACATCTTCTGGGTCGAGTGTGGCGAATGTAGATCAATGTCTTGCTAAAGGATATTAGTGCCGCGGCGGGACTTGAACCGCGGACCTTGTGTGTGATCGACAGTCTGGTGACGTGTCCATACGACCACGACACCTCTAGTGTAATACATCAGATTATTCGCACACCAAGTTTTAATTCGCATTAAGCTCTTTCCTTTTTGTTAAGTCTATGGGGAAATTATTTCTTGAAAGACTTTGATCGAACCTTTAGTAATTCATAAGAACAATCTTTTTTATCCTAGAGATGCAACTTGAGTTATTTTGACTTCTAACAAGTTGAAATAGATGTCGTTTTGCCTCGCAAATAACGAAACTCTCCAATTTAATTGTTTACTGCCGCTCCTAAACTTATTTTCATTGATGTTGATCGCGAACTTGTTTAGATATTTGTGCATGTGTATCATGTTAAAGAAGCAACCGTTTATTATCTAAAGCGTAGCTTTGGATTTTTCCATCAGTTTTATCCTTTTTTTTCAGTCAAAGGTAATGGAGTATATACATTTCCTAATATTGTCAAGTTATCAAACAAAAAGATGCCTTTAAGGCTTTTAAATGACAACACTCACCGGATGGTGTGCTGAAGCATTGCACTCCTGCGTCTTCACTATGCCCGCAGTTGTGACTGAGTGGTCCGTTACTAGGACACGAGAAGAGATCCGTTTCAGTTCCAACGCACTCAACATTGTCCAGAATGATGTCTCCACTCCCTTGTCCAAAGGCAGCATTACTAAGGGCACTTCCAGTCTCACCTAGACCAAGAATTTGACACACCACTGCCGCATCGGTGTCGTCCCAGAGATCATCACAGACGGTTCCCCATTGTCCGTTGTAATTGACTTCAACTCGACCTTCGTTACTTGATGAGCCATCGACTAGACGGATTGATACTGAATTTGGCGAGAGTGTAATAATACAGCATTTATTATGCGCCATCGATCTAGTAAACTATTCTGAGGCACAGAAATAAATTATTACCATGGCTTTAGCACAGCTGCCATTAAGGAGCTCTAGCATTTCAAGGAGTTAATTCCTACCAGATACCCACTTACATCTTCTGGGTCGAGTGTGGCGAATGTAGATCAATGTCTTGCTAAAGAATATTAGTGCCGCGGCGGGACTCGAACCGCGGACCTTGTGTGTGATCGACAGTCTGGTGACGTGTCCATACGACCACGACACCTCTAGTGTAATACATCAGATTATTCGAAAACCAAGTTTTAATTCGCATTAAGCTCTTTCCTTTTTGTTAAGTCCATGGGGAAATTATTTCTTGAATACTTTGATCGAACCTTTAGTAATTCATAAGAACAATCTTTTTTATCCTAGAGATGCAACTTGAGTTATTTTGACTTAACATCTAACAAGTTGAAATAGATGTCGTTTTGCCTTGCAAATAACGAAACTCACCAATTTAATGGTTTACTGCCGCTCCTAAACTTATTTTCATTGATGTTGATCGCGATTTTTTTTAGATATTTGTGCATGTGTATCATGTTAAAGAAGCAACCGTTTATTATCTAAAGCGTAGCTTTGGATTTTTCCATCAGTTTTATCCTTTTTTTCAGTCAAAGGTAATGGAGTATATACATTTCCTAATATTGTCAAGTTATCAAACAAAAAGATGCCTTTAAGGCTTTTAAATGACAACACTGACCGGATGGTGTGCTGATGCATTGCACTCCTGCGTCTTCACTATGCCCGCAGTTGTGACTGAGTGGTCCGTTACTAGGACACGAGAAGAGATCCGTTTCGGTTCCAACGCACTCAACATTGTCCAGAATGATGTCTCCACTCCCTTGTCCAAAGGCAGCACTCCCAAGGGCACTTCCAGTCTCACCTAGACCCAGAATTTGACACACCACTGCCGCATCGGTGTCGTCCCAGAGATCATCACAGACGGTTCCCCATTGTCCGTTGTAATTGACTTCAACTCGACCTTCGTTACTTGATGAGCCATCGACTAGACGGATTGATACTGAATTTGGCGAGAGTGTAATAATACAGCATTTATTATGCGACATCGATCTAGTAAACTATTCTGAGGCACAGGGATAAATTATTACCCTTGCGTTAGCACAGCTGACATTAAAGGTACCATGTCCCTTTTGCAGCCAACCTCAAATTCTGTAGAAATTTGCAGGAATTATGAAAATGTCATGTATGTCCTATCTATAAAATTTAAACGTTAGCAGGGTCCTAATATTCAAAGTATGCAAGAAAATCCGTTTACTTGCTAGACTTCACTGTCAGACACTATTGATTGACAGACTGGCTTTTTTTTTCTTTGGTAATAACATACATAAAATGAGCTGTAAAGGGTACATGAGCATTTGTCTACATCAATACCCACTTCTTGTGATGTCCAAAATTAAACTGATTGAATCTTTGCGCAGCATAAAAGGTATGACCATTAGGTATAATGGTCTAAAAATCAAGACTATTACTTATTGGCTCTATAACTCCTATGTCGATTTGAAAGTCGTTATTTTCCCACTTGAAGACATTTTCAAGCCCCACCTTTTTTAGGGAAGTTCTTAATTAGTATTATCTTTCAAGTGCCGTTGGAATTTAACCTTTTCATTTGTTTGGCCTGCAAATGGGACATCGTACTTTTAAGGCGCTCTAGCATTTCAAGGTGTTAATTCCTACCAGGTACCAATTTACATATTCTGGGTCGAGTCTGGCGAATGTGGATAAACGTCTTGCTAAAGGATATTAGTGCCGCGGCGGGACTCGAACCGCGAACCTTGTGATCGACAGTCTGGTGACGTGTCCATACGACCACGACACCTCTAATGTAATACATCAGATTATTCGCACACCAAGTTATAATTCGCATATAGCTCTTTCCTTTTTGTTAAGTCTTTTGGGAAATTATTTCTTGAAATACTTTGATCGAACCTTTAGTAAGTCATAAGAACAATCTCCTTTATCCTAGACATTAATCTACATTTGCCACTCTCCATCCAGTTGCAGTAATTGGTTCTTGTTTTTTATTTTTGATGTAAACCACAAAATTTACAAACAATAATCATAAATTAAATTTTAATAGGGCAGTAACCGCTCTAGGGTATTTCAGGAGCTCATGCCCCACCCAATTTTTGCAAGCCCCTCATTTTTTTCGCGAACTACTTGTAGAATATGACTGCAAGAACCCGACCCCTCCCCCAGCCCCCCCCCCCCCCAATTATTCTTCCAAAATCACTGCTGCAGGATGGTCACATTTGGGGTCTTTATTAGTTTCTTTCACTCGAAAGTGAAGAAATGTATCCCACAACATTACTTTATATGAAGGAAAATAGGAAATATACCACATTCTCATTATGCACTATTTTAATTCTTACTATAGCACAACCCCCTCAAGAATTACTTTGTCCGCCCCCTTTTGTTCACGCACAACAGTCTTACCTTGTTCCTTGGGTAATATTCTCCTTTGATCTGAATTCATTATAAAAACACTAAACAATTGTAACTCTGATCCATTTAAAAGAAAAACAAAATCAAATGTGGTAGTTTTATTCAATCAATCAACACTGCAGGGGCAATCCTGAAAAGCATTTTAAAGAGATCTTTTTCATGTAGATTATATTGGCAGGTATTAATAATAGCGCTAAAATTATAGACGCTCGTAGCAGAAATCAAGATGAGACAATCTGCATGACAGGCGCGTACGCAGGGGGGGGGGGGGGGGTGGGGGTAAACCCCCTCCCCTTCAGGTTTTTTTTATGTGATTGTTTTTTTTTGGAGAAAAAAATCTTTCAAGTTACCAACAGGAAAAATTCCTCTGTATGGGCCATGCATTATGGTCCAAGGCATACCCACATAGAAGATTTTTTTATGTTGGGGGTCGGAGCAAAATGCAATTAATTATTGAAAAATTACTGCATTTTCTTTGTTTTTTGTTTTTGTGGGGGCGTCGACGTACCCTAGCGCCCGCTGCGTACAGTCATTATTCATTGGTTAAGCAATGGCCTCGTTACTGTTAGCCCCCAGGATCAAAACCGTGTCGATATGCTATATTGGTGCCCTTTTATGAGGTATTAATCCCCATTACTGTCAGTTATGACTTAAGGACGTAGGTCCCCTATATAGTTGATTACCATTGTAGCACACACATGCTTTAACAGTCACCCAAAACAAACACTCCCCAATTGTCATTTAATACATTCTGAGAATGTATACTATTATCTAGATCTAGTGGGAATAAATCATTGTCAAAATCATTCAATAAATTGGGGTAAAAATATTTATTCCACCATTATGACCAACGGTGTATATTATTAGTATTAATATAACATAGACATGTATACATTTGTGTACACTTAATTCCAATCACTGTAGCATTGTTTGAAATATGTAAGGCTATTGAATTTCTATAATAATTATAGTTTTACTTAGTAAATTCAAGTCACAAGATGATATACTAAAGCAAAGATGAGTATACGCCCATATTGATGATAAGAAGATTACTTCTATTTGTATTATTTATGTAAAAATTGTTTTACTCAGCAAAAAAAAAAAAAAGATACCGTTTACAATTAAGAATTTCAAGTATTGAATATAAATTATCTCTCGTATATCAAATTAAACATAAAATGATCATATTATGATATGCAATTGGAATCATACCAATCACGCGTTAGTGAGCATAGCCCCTAAAGCCCCTTTAAAGTGTTGGGAGCCTAAAATCTGCCCCCAAAATACGGAAAAAATCAACTAAATTTTATATTGAAAGAGGATGTCATTTAACACACACTTCTGCTAGAATTTTAAAAACAAATGTTTTTGAAGCGGAATATGAGAACACCATTATGATTTTTGTTGTTCGCACACAACCTCAGTTTGTATTCTTTCATCATCTTCGTCTAATAACACATTTGTTTTGAAAATCCTTGCAGAAGTGTGTGTTAAATGACATCCTCTTTCACATCATTATACAATTTTGGGGAAATTTTTGCCATCAGATTTGTGAGGCTCCCGACACTTTAGAGAGTCTTTAAACAAGATATGAGTCTCGGAAAGAAAATAGCAAATAATGGGCATCTGGCCATTCAAAGGTTGATGTTCCATTGTGTAGAGTCGAATTACAACAATGAAACAAAACAAAAATCACGAGAAAAATGAAAGGGGAGGTATCTTGACTGTGCTTGGCAAAAAGGACTGCTGTTGTAGTTGACATCCATAGCTCATTCCTCCTCAATTTATCTTTTTTCTTTTTTCTTCATTTTTACACAACAATATCTTACAGATGCATATATTCATTTACAGTTAATGAATATTTGCCCTATTTTGGCTATTTTTTTTATCAGACCCTCCATCCAAGTACAATACTTGATCTTTGATAATTTATGTTGGTAGCGTTTCAATTTTCCTTATTATGTTTTCTCATATTTTATAGACAGTTTATATGAATATTTTGGAAAGCAATAAGCATCCACTTTCTTTTCCTTTTTTTTTATTTGCTGAGTGTATATTAGGGCAAATAAATCAATTCATAGTTTCTCATTTTTTCAGCCGGCAAAATTTTGTTTGTTTTATTTGTAAATGAAATATATAAAAAATCAAAGGATATCTAGACCAGGTGCTAAACAAGAATATTGAGATTTCACCTTGTATTGGGCCTCTGTGGTGCATATTCAAATCTATTGAATTAACAAAATCTGTGTTATCAGAACAGATTGCATTTTGTATGTACAAAATAATATCAACAAATAAAATGGAACTGCTCCTCCTCAATATCGAGAACTCCGACCTAGAAACTATCATGACTATAGCGATCAATTTTACTTTGCCTTATCATTATTTGTCTCCTTGCTGAAGTTGAATGTAAAAATATGCCTCTAGAAATACAACATATTATATCATGCATCAAAAATTTTGGCTTTTGACTGGTTGAGAGCTCGTCACGTGACCAGAAATATTTCATCTATTTTAAGGTTGCTCTGAAAAAGTATTATATGAGTACCATTTGGGAGTAGATGTACTATTTGGGAGTTGAAAAAATTGTGAATGTTTCTTTTTCTTTTTCAAATCTTAATTTAATGAAAACAAAATATTTTAATTCTTTTTTGATAAAAATTGACATTTTTTTAAATTTTAAATATATTTATTTTTCTCCAAAAAAGGATTTTTTTTTTTGAATAAATGTTTGATGTAGGATAAAAAACAAATATACCATGCCTTCTATTCAAGGTACTGGTTAAGACTATGGGCCTCGGTGACTCCAAAAGTACCATTTGCTTCGGGGCTGCGCCCCTCAGCAAATAGTGCTATTGGAGTCACCTCTTGCGCATAGTTTTAACCAGAACCTCTCAAGACAGTGTATATTTGTATATTATTATCTCTTGCATTATATTGACTAAATTTTTGACATTTCAATTACATATTTTTGTCTACTGTATTTAAATATAAACAAATCTTTGGTATCGTTTGTTAACTGAAAATTGAGAATGATCCAATATGGATTTTAATCAAAAATTATGGTTGAATTTTACTACGAATTTCAATGTTACATGTAGGTGTTATACTAAAAGTCAATAAAACGGCCAATAAGTCGAAATAATTCTCGAGTTCCGAAAACATTTCTTACGTTCAGTCTTACCTTGTGCGTTAGCTACTGCCGAACAGAAGCAGACGATAAGACAAACGAAAAGCCTCATCATTGATCAATGATGCGTCTTTCTGATACACGCTGCAAATTCGAAAAACGGATAACCAGTCCGTCCAACTCTTTTGGTGACGTGTGTTGCCTTGAGTTCAAGGATCGCAAACACCTCTCTCCACCTTCTGGCGGTAAACTGGCGACTGCGCCTGTTTTCACCATCAATATACTTATTTCGGCGATGTTTCGACTAAACTTCTGCGACGACGAATCAGGGTAACTTGAAACAACCAGCAACCTGGGATCGGGTGGAAGTATTATGTTTAACCTTCAACGCCGAGATATTAAATTTATCGGTAAACAAAGCACTTGTCGCAAGTTCGTAAAATAAACTACTTTCTTTTATGACTACAATCAGGCGCGTACGCAGGGGGGGGGGGGGGGGGGGTTTGGGGGGTTAAACCCCCCCCTTTGGAAATTTTTTGTGTGTAAACCCCCCTAAAAAAACCTAAAACCCCCCCCCCCCCCCCCCCCTTTTGGATTTTTTTTTTTTTTTTTTTTTTTTTTTTAATTATTAAAAAAAAAAAAAAAAAAAATTATTCCCATGGCCGACCTAAAAAAGGTGACCTTACCCCCCCCCCAACGGAGCAAAATGTCAAATTTCCAAATTTCGAGACCCCCCCCCCCCCCCCCCCCCCCCCCCCCCCCCCCCCCCCCCGCTTATTCAGCGGCTGGCTGAGTCGTTGCGAAATTTTCGGACCGATTTATAAATGTTAAAACCCCCCCCCCTTGAAAAAATCCTGCGTACGCGCCTGACTACAATCATATGGGCTAATTATTATCTATAAGGGAATTTACAGATGCAATCTGCGCATGGGCAGATGAAGGTCATTTGTACCAAAAAGGTAACACCCACAGAGATGAATACTGAATATGGGCCCATGAAAGTTATGTAACATTATTCATTTATGCACCAACGGTACATTCTATGATACGCAGGTGGAAGTATTCTTTTCAAGAGGGCAAACAAAAGGTATTCATGAAGCACAGCTAGGACTTTGGCAGTTATTATTCTAATATGCTCAAAGGGGAACTTCTCCATGTGTAAAAGATCTGTGAATATTTGGGGTCATTTGTACCATGTGCTATCTGTAAACTCCCTTATTGGCATAGATTTTACTGTAAAAAAAAACGTCATAATACTGACGACATTGTCGTTGAGCATACAATTGCCTGACGAATTTGTTAGTGAGAACTCTTGGAAAGAAATGTTAGTGAAATAGTGCCTGGAAAAGTAGTTATCCATTTAATCTTTTTATGAAAAATATATTTCATTTTATTTTGTTATTATCTATGCCCCCCCCCCCCTCCCCCTTCTCTCTTTACCCCCTCCTCACTATTCCTCATTTCGACATATTTATCTCTCTCTCTCTCTTTACCGACACCATTCTATTCATTCTTTCTACATTTTATATTTGTGCTTGTCTGTCCCCCCCCCCCCCTCTCTCTCTCCCTCTCTCGGTCTCATTCTCTCTCTCTCTCTCTCTCTCTCGGTCTCATTCTCTCTCTCTCTCTCTCTCTCTCTCTCTCTATATATATATATATATTTCCCTCTACCTCTATTTCTGTTACTCTCTGTCTATGTCTGTCTGGTTCTATCTCTCTCTCTCTCTCTCTTTATCCCTCTCGTATATCTTCCCTCTTTGATCCCCTTTAGTCACTTCAGTACCTATCCGTATGTATTTATCGCCCCCCCCCCCCCCTCTCTCTCTCTCTTTCTCTCACCCCTGTTTTCCCAGGCCAGCTCATCAAACCAATCGTATGACTGTATTAAAATTAAAAATAATTATCTCACTTTGACCCTCTTCAGAAGTGAAAGAACCAGCAAATGTGAACGAAGATTGATCTTAACCTACTGAAGAGCTCCGAGAGACATATCCGATGAAAGCTCTTCACAATTACCAAGAGACCCACGCGACCCTAAAAGGCAAGTCAAGTGCAACATCGAAAGATATTAACTAAACCTCTCGTTTTCGTATTCAAGTTCAAATCAACGCTTGATTCAAAATGAATTTAAGCGAGGCTCATGTAATAAAGTGCATGCACGAGCCTTTGCCCTCGAAAGTCTCCTCTCCCCATTCCCGAATAAAAAAATCTTTAAGAAGCGCGTCTTCAAATCTAACACCACAGTGTGAGTCAAAAAAAAAGTTTACACCTAGAAAATTGCTAATTATTTTTAAAATCATCTATGAACCGCACATTATTATACATCTTATGAAAGAGTATTTTATCCCAAATAATTTGGTATCATTTTTGTGTTCATCCAAGCGTAAACACATACCACACAAAAATGATACCAAATGATTTTTGAAGACAGACATTCATTCATTCTTTCATTTTTGCATTTTCTTTCTTATGTAAATGTACACGATTCTTTGTCATGATGTGATTATGTTCCCTAATATTTTGAAGCGCCTTGAACATTTAATTAAAATGGATAATGGCGCTATATAAATCTCATGTAGTATTATTATTATTATTTGTGATAAAACACTCTTTCACAAGATGTATAATAATTTACTGTTCATAGATGATTACATTTTTTAAAGCAATTTTCTAGGTGTAAACTTTTTTTTGACTCACACGGTATATTGCCTGCTCACAGCCAAAAGGACGTTACCTCACGTCGTTGCACTCATTAAAGCCCCTCTAAAGTGTTCGGAGCCCAAAATTCGCCCAAAACATAATGGCAAATAAGAGTAACCCTTTTCTTTAATTTCACTAAAAGCTCGCTCGCATTTAAAAATGGTACAATTTCATTTCTTTTTAAAGGTCTTTTCATTCTTTCATGATTAAATTGTGCATAAAATCCCATTAGGATTGTTTTTGCAATTTTTCCCACTGCGACCTCACAAATCTTAAAATTTAAATGAATAATGAGACCTTCACACCAAACTACAAAGTATGAAACTTAATCTGCGGGACTGCACTACTTATAGCTACTTGCGCCCTCTATAAAGCCAACCATGTCTAATCGGTACCCGTTGTTCTCCCATGGCCCCCTTTGTCTTATTTTAATTGAGAGCTGATTTGATGAGATAACCACCTGCCAGTGACCACGCAGGGAGGTCTAATCCCTCCTGTCCAAACTAGTGCAGATATATAGACTTAAGGCACTATCTTGGACCATGTAAAGAGAGAAACAAATATTGAAATCATCCCTGATAATGTAATTACAATGTATTGGTATATCTCAATGTCAACAAATTATATATGTTTGCCCCTTGTTGGTGCCCCCCCCCCCCCCCCCACTTTGAAAGACGCTCCGCTGCCCCTGCCTTCACCTCTTCCCAGTGGCGTAATGAGCAAAAACTTTTTTGGGGGTCAGAACAAAATGCGCATTATTGTCTTTCGAAATAAGGGGGAACCAACAAAAAGGGCACTTACTGGTAAAAAGGGGCACCTACAAAGGGAAAAAAATCAAAACAATATTGGTATATACCCCCGGCCTACATCGTCATGATTGTGATTACACTACCAGGGATGACATCAATATTTGTTTCTTTCTTTACGTGGTACAAGATAAGCAACAAACTTTGCAGTTTGATGTGATGGTCTGAATATTAATTTTCGAGCGAGCGAAGCGTGCGAGCAAAAAATGTAATGTTTGTGAAGTCCCAGTGCGAACATAACATCTTATAAAGAAGACACAAAACAGACCCTGATGAGTATTAAGCACAATCTAATGAAGAAAGACTGAAAAAATTTTTTATAAGTAACATAATTATAACATCTATAAATGCGAGTGAGCGTAGCGAGCAAATTCTAGGAAAAATAATAGAAAAGGGGGCTCTAAGTCGCTTAGGGTTGCATGTTGTGGAGAAAGGAAAAGTAGGCACTTATCAAAAGGGAAAAGGACAGATATTAGAAGGGGCAAAAGGTGCTAGTGTCAAAAAAAAAATCAATTATCAGAGATGAAAATGGCATTTCTTGCACCTGAAAAGGGACACTCAACAGAGATGAAAAAAGGCCCTAGAGAGAAAGGACATGGGGAATCTGAAGGAAAAGGGCATCTATCAGATTTTAATAGGGGCATATATAAGATGTGCAAAGGGGCATTTTGAAAAGGGGGTGGGGCTCATAATATAAAAAAGGAAAAGAGGCACTTATCCGAAAGGAAAAGAACACGGGTCAAAAATAAAAAGGGCACTTATCAGAGGTGAAAAGTGGCATTTAAGAGAAAGGGAAGGGGGTTCTTATTAAGAAGGTAAAATAACACTTATTAAATAGGAAAATGGGCACGGGTCAATGTAAAAAAGGAGATAAGGGAGGAAAGGACAGTTATTAAAAAATAAAATGGGCACTTGCATGTGTACGTCCTATGTAAAAAGGGGCACTTTGGGGAACCTAAAAAGCCTCCCCCCCCCCCCCTCTCAAGCGGGAGTGCCGCTTTTGGCATAATGGGCAAAAGTGAGAGGAAAAAACCCGGAAAACCATGTCATTTCAGCGATATTTGTAAATCACAGGTTTCAAGTTAGAAAAAAAACCACGTTTGAATTTCAGTACGCCAGTGTCTCTTCCTGCTCTTCCCTCTCCTCCTCTTCTTCGTCGAAAAGCATAAACTTTCAAGAACGTCCATAGTCTCAAAAAGTTCAGTTTCGAAAAATGCATGCCCGTCAAATGACGTCCCTCCCTCCCTCCCTTCCTGCACCTCCCTCTTCCTCATCATCATCCTCCTCCCCGAGTCCTCCGAGTCCTCCCCCTCCGCCGTCTTCTCCCCCTCCTCCTCCCCCTCCCCCGCCTCCTCCACCTCCTCCTCCTCTTCCTCCTCCTCCTCCTCCTTCTCCTTCTCCTCCTCCTCCTCCTCCTCCTCCTCCTCCTCCTCCTCCTCCTCCTGCTCCTCCTGCTCCTCCTCCTCCTCCTCCTCCTCCTCCTCCTCCTCTTCTTCTTCTTCTTCGAAGAACAGACCCGTTTTGAGAGCGCTTATATTTAGCCTAAACAATTTTATTTCGAAGAGTGCATTTCGGTCACGTGACTGAAAACATGTCACCTGACAGTTGGTCTGTATACAGTTCATCATTCCAACTATAACTATGTCGTGTTCTTCGCGTTCGGCGCGGGATGGATACACGGATTCGAATAAATTACAAATCTACCATACATGCACTGCAGTCTGCACTGCTCAAATTCAAAGTGTATTTGCATTCTGACAAGTCTGATCTCGTTTTTTTGTAAGTTATTTTCCGGTTGTTTGGATACAACAATGTGTCTTCCTTGTGGTTGTGGCAACATTGTCAGTTTTCTCCCATTGCTGTGGATCGTGGCCATGCCAGTCGTGGGATCGTTTTGTGGACCTGACACTGCTCTCCGATACTCTCTGCTCATGATGTTGTATGCGATTCTGGGGAGTTTCGTAAATAGATTTGTGGTAAGTACCGTACGACGTATAAGTAAAAGTCTACCCTGATATTTTGTGGCATTGTGGGTTTTAATAAAAGCAGACAAATTAGAGAAACAGGAAGTTTAATTGAGCAAAAACCGATAAGAAATTTAAAAAATCATAATTCGTTCCCGCTTTACTAGTTTAACCTCAAGTTAAGTTAACCCCAAAACACCAGAAAAATTCTGAGACAGCAGTCGAGCTTCCTGGACTATCTTCTTGTAGTTTTGCTTAATACTTCATACATAATTAATATACAACAAAGGGCGCGTTCATGCTTGATTTTGACGGCCAGAATCGGGCATCTGTTACGCGTTTAGTTTAAAACACGGTTGCGTCTTAGCTCACTTTTGTAGAATCACCGAAAAACGGCGATCACGATCGCCGATCGTAAACTCACAAAAAGATGCGTTTACAATTTGTAAACGCGTTTAAATGGGGTCAACGCACTGACCTCTAGTGGGTCTACGTAGCATGCACAGTGAAGGTTTGCGAATCCAGCTGGAAGACCAATTAAGGCCACACACTGAGAATTGCCTGGGGGAGCCAGAGAAGTAAGCATGAACACTACATCGTGGAACTGCGATCACGATGAGCGTTTACGATGAGCGTTTCAGATCGCTCATTCTGCCTTCAAAATTTAAGCATGAACGCAGCCAAAGTCTCTCTATCTCTTTCTCTCAGCCCTGTAAATATCCCAGGCCAGGCATGAAGAACTTTGAGCGCTGTGCACTGAGTTTATGCGCTTTCATTGGTAGATCCGCTCGAGTGGCTTCAAATTTAAGTGAGAGAGGGCCTACTCAACTTAAGCGCAACTTACGTTCAATGGCAAAGTCAATACATAATATTACGTCACACCACAGAAACTTTGACATGTCATGCTTTAAACAGGTGACTCAGGGTAAATATGACAATGACCCGGAATATAATATCATGATAAAAATTCATCAAATTACTTGTTATACTTGCAAACTTAAAAAAAAAAATTAAAAAAAATCAACAAAAAAATCAAATCAAATCAAATCAATTTTTTTTTTTTTTTTTTTTTTTGGGGGGGGGGTTAAATTTTCCCTCGGGTCGCGCCACGCTTTTTTAATTTCTTGGCGAGAGGACATAAAATAGAAAAATCAACGTACATCTCATAATAAGTTTCCAGTTTGTACCTTAATATGACGAAAATGAGAATTGTTCTAACTTTAAAAATAGGTAAGTAAGACTTAAACTTAAGTTCAATACTTAAGTAAATACTTAAGTGAAAAAATCATAACAAATAGAGGGTTTGACTGAAATATCCTAATTTTGGTTTTAAAAAAAAAACGGAAAATCGCAAGCTTGCTCGTCACACAAATATCTTATAGCATTGAGTGAATGAAACCTAGCAATAGCCAATAAAAAGGGCCCTTGTCGGCGCCAATTTAGTAAAATGAGGCTGCGACTTGCCGAGATCAGATGAACGATTTGCGCATGCGCTAAATGTAAGCTAAAGTTCTACTAGCCAGGCCAGGTCATCACACCTATCGTATGACTGTATTAAAATAAACCCCCTTTTGACCTTCCTCTGAAGTGAAAGAACCAGCAAATAATAACACAGATTGATCTTATCCTACTGAAGAGCTCCGGTAGACATATCCGATGAAAGCTCTTCACAATTACCAACAGATCACTCGACCCTGAAAAGCAAGTGAAGTGCAACATCGAAAGATATTACGGTAATAAACCTCTCGTTTTCAGGTTCAAATTCAGCACTAACAGTAGCAGTTAGGGGGGGGGTTTGTGCTCGAGCCCTACATTTTGTTTTTTCTTGATAATAAATGAATATAAGCCAGGCTAATGTAGAAAATCTGACGTGCAAGAGCCCCCCAAGGCCCCCAAATTGTCTTCCCTCCCAAAAAAAAACACAACAACAACAACACATTAAATTTACAACATAAAGAGACAAAAAATGTTAATTCCATTTTATAACATTGAATCATAAATTTATCCATTAATTACATTTTTTCTCTCTCTCTCTCTCTCTCTGTTCCCAGAAAATCCTTCTTCCAGTATTCACCATTGCGTTCTTTGTGGTCATCATCTGTCTTCCAATCAGCATTGTACCATACCCACTGGTCTGGTTGTATGGGCAGTTGGTGTGGATTGTGGAGCCGTTGGTCTTGTTTGTGGAAGCGATCGGAGTGATCCAAATTACCATGCAGCTTAGTAAGGAGGTATCGGACCACGTCGATGACAACGGGCCCTTAGCTAAGGTGCGTCTTGCTTAAAGATGAAGTTGAGTTCTGGTCATGCAATTGCATTGTGAAAGAAACGGTGTGGAATCGACCAAAAAAGGTTGATCATCTAGCATATAAGAATTTGTGTGTATTGCAAGCTTCTGGAATCATCAAAATGATAAGAAATTGACCAAGTCTTGGTAAAGTTACAAACACTGTACACAGAAAGATGTATATGGGACTACACAAACACGTGGCGTAAAAATCCTACCCCCCAAGTTTTACGATGTACATGACATATTTAGAATATGAAGGTATTTGAAGAGCTATGCTTTTCAGGGAACATGTCTTATCTGATGTTCTTCCACACTTGCATAATAAGAATGATAACGCTCACAAATTATTTTTCACCTCTTCCCAGAACTCAACCTTCTCTTTAAGAATAGTAATTTAGATAATTTTCATGAAAATATTCACAACTTTTACATCAAGATTTCTATCACAATTCAAAGGATAAATTCTGTGTGATTAGTACTCCATAAAACCCATTGTTGTATTGATTTCACAATAAGGCTTAAAAAAAGAAAGATGTTGTATTGCCCTTTAGGTGCCAGAACCTGGGTCGGTCAGATTTTTTTTTCTTCCCCCTTTGAAGACAGCGACCGTCCCCATAGAAGTTCAAAGCCGGGAACGTCACCCAAATATCACTGTCTTTTACCTGGTGCAGTGCATTGTATATACATGAACATGAGGCCAGAGTCTACTTATTTACGCTAGCAGGATTTCTTAACTAGGGCAGAAGCGGGTGAGAATCTGGGAATAAGTTGATGATTTTCTGCATTTATATCTCATTTAAACAAACATAATACATATTATTTTTTTCTAAAAAAAAGGATTTAAAAAAGAAAAATTATTAAAAAGTCGACTGTAGATTTTAAAATTTGGGGGTCAGTTGCAAAGGGCAATACAACATTTTTTATTTTTTACGCCTAAGGTATCATAAAAATTAATGTTATATTGAAATACAATGTCACCTGTCTATGGTTTATCAAATCAAGTGCAGGCTTTAATTTTCTCCTCTCCAAAAATATTGATGTTGAAAATGCATCAATGAATAAGAAAACCAGACAAATGAAAGAAAGGTTGTTAGTGTATTACGAGCCATACTTTGTTGTGTTAAAAGTACCTCTTTACCAGAGATTTTGGGAACATGAATGAGGTCCGGAGTGGGGGGCCGGGGTTAAGTGCAGAAATAAGGAAGGCATTTCACTTACAATTGCCTATAGATGCCACCTAAAGTGAATTGACTGCATGTATGGCAAAATTGCTTGAATTTAATTCATTTTATGTTTGATTTTGTTCACATTATCTTTATGCAGGGTTTGATAATTGGAACAACAGCCATAGCCTACACAGCTTCATTCATCTTTGCCATCATTATATGCAGGACTGGATCGTGGCCTATTATATAGTGAGATTATTATTATTTATTTGCCCCCCTCCCCCCCCCCCCCCCCCCCACTACCCAGTCCCTCACTCATTTTTGTTTTGGCTTTTCCCTGAGCATATGGACATCCGAATGTGGTTTTTGGCGCATTATAAGGGCATTTTGTTATATATTACAATTATCTTTGAGATTTGTTTTTAAAAAGATGATGAAATTCAAATAGAGTCAAATTTGCTCAAGCTTTAGCGACCACCTGTATAGACTAATCACCTGTCTGCAAAAACGATATTCTTTGTTTCTCTTGAAATTAATTTGCATTGAAACATGTACTGAAGGAACCTGTACTTAAAGACCACCTGCATTTTAATAAAGACCACTTCTATTGTCTTCCTTGAGCGGTCTTTGTACACGGATTTCACTTTGAGCGGTGGGTATGTATAGGTTTAACTGTATTTACATGTATTAGGGTTGACCAGTTGATTAGCAAGCTTATTATTGATGCTTGTAAAATGAGATGTAGGGATCACATTTACAAAGTGCCTAAGTACAGTGTTAAAGGGCAATCCAACCCTTGTAATAAGTTGATTTGAATGACAGCAGAAGAGTAAGATAAACAGAATGGAAAAAGTTTGAAATGAATTCGACCAATAGTAAGGAAGTTATGAATGTTTGAAATATGAGAGTCTATGCGAATCTCAAATTGGTAGTTTGGTCAGTGTATTGTGACATAGGAAGGGGATAACTCTTCCATTTGCCATGTACAAAAATATCACTACTTTCTGTTTTTCTTGTAAGTTCCTTCTCCCTATGGGCACTACTCAAAATATATTATAGATAGCATATTATTATAGAGTAGTTGTCTATTCAGGTTGGATTTCCCTTTAAGAGGTAATAGGTTGGATTTCCCTTTAACCCATTGCTTACTGGAACCTGGTAGTCCCTGTGTAAAGCCTATGGGAATTAGATAATTCAGTAGTCAACGGGTTAAGAGGTAATCTTACGTTTTATATCTTTATTTCTTCTTTTATCCTCATGTCCAGTATGTTAATGGTCATCATTCTGGTTTCATTGGTCCATCTTGCCCTGACCATCAGAGCTGACCAAGGTAAGACAGGAAGCTTATGTTTGTACCTCAATTAAAGTGTTTTAGAAATGGCATGTAGTTTAGTGGTTTAAACACAAGTCTACAGAGGAGAAGGTCATGGGTTCAATTTGTCAGGCTCGTTAGAAGCTTTTTTTAAAGAGGATGCATTTTCATTCATCAAATTTTTTTATATGTGCACATGCCTGGGTGGAAATATCTCTTCAGATGTGTTGCAAAGTCCTTTGACAAGCAAAACAAAAATGGTCATCAGCTTATGGAGTGAATGTTATTATTACTTCAATAAGGGGGATGCAATCGCACCCATTGCCCCCCCCCCCCCCCTCCTCTTTTGATGGGTCTGTTTGTCCAGAAGCAAGGTATTTTAGCTACATTGCTTTTCTCCACCCAGGTTTTAAAATATGTACCCTGTAGCATGCAAAATCATTACGGATTGTACATTATATGGCACCTGGCTGGAATGCTCCCCAGGGAGTGGAGTATGTGTGGACTAGCCTTGATCTAGTGACTGGGGTGACAATGTGCACATATCTGTAAAGCGCTTAGACTGTTAGAGACATTCATAAGCTGTGCATCATACAGTAGCGGAGGTAGTAGTAGTAGAACTAGTGATGGTAGTAGTAGTGCATAAAAGTAGCAGTGGCTATTTACGGGGGAGCACTTGAAGGGGGCACAAAAGAGATGGGTGCAAAAAATTGGAAAAGTAAGAGAAAGGGAAGTAAATGAAGAAATCTTTTGTTCCTCATGTTCAATAAGAATGGTGAAGTGCATAGAATTGGAATTTGAGAGTTTAAAATTTGTAGCACGTCCCTAATAAAGGGATTGGGTATCTTTGTTTCAGATTCTAAACGAAATCCTGGATTTAGCTCATGCTGCAATCATAATTATAAACCTTTAGGTAAGTCAGGAATCCCATGACATTTACAAGGTGATCTCCCGTCTGAATATCAAGATATTTATTTATTGTCACACTTTCTTCTCGTAGAACCCACATCACCCCCATTCTCCAAACTCTTCACTGGCTCCCGGTATGTGACCGAATTATTTTTAAGTTGTTGTTGTTAGTTTTCCATTCATTGTATGACTCTGCTCCTTCCTACAATATCAAGTTGATTGTTAAGTATAAGCCTACAAGACGTCTTCGTTCATCTCAATCCTCCTTATTAGTTGTCCCTAAGACGCGCAGTTCCTGGGGGGATAGAGCATTTTCTCATTCTGGTCCGTCCCTTTGGAATAAGCTGCCACTTAGTATTCGTAATTTAACTACCCTTCATGCCTTCAAAGTTGCTCTAAAAACCCATCTCTTTCTAAACAGTGCTATTTAATCATGTCAATGTAGCGTAATTATTTGTGTTGTTTTAGTTTACTTTATTTTAGTTAAGAATGTTATATTTTTGTGATAGTAATACATGTATGTACAGCGCCATGAGCGTCAGAGCCTGGCGGATACCGGCGCTATATAAATATCCATATTATTATTATTATTATGATAGGAATTCAAAGTTTTCCCCACGCTTTTTATAACACTACAGTCTATTGGGAAAAATGAGTATGGTAAAACCTAACACTCAAAGATTTTTACTTTTTTGAGGCACTTCATGATCATTTTGAAGTGCAATTTTCTTAGGGCTTCAATGTTACACCATATCACAGACGCTGATAACACGAAGGGACGTGCATCTCATATTAAACATTGTTAAACGATGCATTTAAATGTCATTGACGTAGTTATGCTTGGTGTCATGAATGATTTGCTTCTTCTTTGTTCTTGCCTGTACATAATGCCATTATTTTTTTTTCTTCAGGTATCATATCCAATTGTTCTGTAGTGAGCATGTGTATGCTAGGTGCTCTCTGTGCGGGTGTTTACGAGTCTAATCTCATCCACAATCCTCTTCCAGAACCCAAGGAATGGTCAGAGTGAGTGCCAGTCTTCTCTTATCTTATTTTAAAAGTTACGACTAATTGAAGAGAGTGTAGCCTGACGAGACTACGTGTCTTTCCCGTGGCCTGATTTCAGGCCAATCAGGTATAATACAACTACGGACGACGCGACTGAAGCAACCGCATGCATGCAGCATACGCGAACCAAAGTGTGAGGAGAACTTCGGTCTGTTTCGCGAATGCTGACCTTGTAGAGATTAAGTCGCTGACTACCATTAATCAAGTCCATTCGTTTACGTGCAGTTGTCCAAAAGAAGACGTAGATGGCGTTATTAGTATTTGCCTAGCTACACCCCCTTCAAAGTGGCCAGTTTAGTCTGTAGAGTGTCCAGATTCTACATTTGATTTATTAAACTTACAAGCTGATTCAATCATCTTCTATTCTGTATTTATGCAGGCTAGCTCCTATTCTTTGATATGTATCTTACTTGTTTTTTACCATTAAGTTGTTAATATTTTAAGATGTGGGGAAACAATTTAATAAGGGGATTTGTAAAGGTTATGCTGTAGAAGGGTTTGAAAGAAAGTTCATGAAACTGACGGGAAAATAATGTTTTTAAGATGTTGTATTTATTTCTCTTTCTTTCTTACAGTGAATCTTTTAATTATCTCTCACTTTTTCAACTCGTGGTATCTACTGCGACATCAAGTATGAGTAAGTAAACATACAAACCAGTAGAGGATTCTGAGATGAGGAGGGGGGGGGTGGGCATATGCTGTACCCAACTATCTTGTGTCATGGCAGTAAGTACCGGTAAGAGAAAACGTACACAATATTTGCATGCTCTTCTCCCTGGCAAAATTTTAAACACGAAAGGCCATATTGAATTAATGATGTACATGTTCACGTCCCCCCCCCCCCCTTCCCCTCCCAAGCATTCTAGCTCCTCCTTTTTTCTACTTTCTTTAATGGCCTCGGGGAGAACAGTACTCTCAGAGCCTCCTCCCACACACCCCATCTCAGAATCCTCTACTTACCGAACATTGGCGAGTCTTGAAATTTGAAATGCGTTCTCCTGAGTGGTTGATTTTTTCAATTATCCAACCATAATCATAATGGTGAAAAAAACAATAGAAAAGGGAAAATTGAAAAATCGTTAAGACAGTTTACTTTTAAAACTTGTCTCATGAAATTACATTTTTAATCTTGTTTGTAAACTTTATGGTACTGTCAAGGTACTCTTATTTCAGTTATTTCAAAGACTTATTTTGATGAATCTTTTTCAGCCCTTGTAACCAAGGCAACCCGTTTCCTGTACAAGCTTGTCAATCCTGTTCTGATATCTCTCATCGTGGTTCGTACTGTCAGCATCCAACAAGTTATGGGTCTTATTCTCTCACGATTTTATCAGGTCAGTATATATTAGATATTAAAGGCTCCTCTGATAATCTCTCCAGCGACAGTTGACCCAGGCTTTATTTTGTTGTGACATAGAATTAGGATTGGGTTCAAAATAGGTTTAAAAGGGAAGCCCACCCTGATATTAGGTTTGTTTGAATAGAACATGAGAAGTGGTGAAACAGGTCTGTAAAGTTTTGAGCAAAATCTGATTAAAAATAAGAAAGTTATGAACATGAATATTTGAATTTGCCATCAGTCAAACACAGATTAGCAACTCTGTGATGTGCTTTAGGAAATTGTTCGATCATACATGCACCCTAAATATGATTATTGCAAATATGCTTCTATACAACCCCTGTATGAAACAAACCTATTCCGTCATCAATAACTAAGGAAATGAAAGTTTACACAATTTATATACAGAGCAAATTGGAGAGGACCTCGCGAGATGCGTCACAGTGTTGCCAATTTGTGTTTTACACATGACAACATTAAAAATTCATAACCTTCTTATTCTTGTGATGCAGCCTCCTATTTGGTCCTGTGTGCTATAAGGCCCCCCCCCCCCCCCCCAAAAAAAAAAAAAAAAAAAAAAAAAAAAATTAAAAAAAATTAAAAAATAATAATAATAATTTGGGCGTAATATTTTTTTTTTTTTGGGGGGGTGGGAGCAATTTTAAAATCAATTTTATGCATTTTGATCTGCTTTGGCCACTCTCCACCCTCAAGTGTAGTAAATGGGTACCTGGTAGGATTTATTCTTGAATGCTTATAGCTCCTTAGGGCAGCTGGGCTAAAGCCGGGGAAATACTACCACTTTGTAAGCACCTTGAGCATCCCCTGGGATGGATACTTGGGCAATATGAATATAGTTATTATTATTATGAAGATGCACATATTTACTTCATCATGGCACCTCACACTGATGTACAGCATTTTATCATCCCAGGGGAGGGTTTCACAAAGACTAAGATTGACTTTAAGTTAGACTTAACTATTGCAGGCTGTTCATGCCACTTGTTCCTCTAACCATTCATGGCATTGTTTTCTCAAGGGATGTACAAATCGTGGTCATAGATATACAGAATTTTCCTTTTTTTAATAATTTATTATTGAAGAAACAAATAATCTAAAGATCATAATTGAGAGACCGATGGTGAGAGCAACCTGTGGCATGAATGGCCTGCCATAATTAAGTCCAACTTAAAGTGGTTCTTAGTCTTTGTGAAACACCCCCGAGGACATCTTCAGGGAGCTGCTGCAAGGGATTATCATACATGCCAACTGTTCAGATTAAAGAGGAACATTCCTCTTTTTGGGAGAAGATAATTATCATTTTAATGCAGGTGTTCCTCTTCCTGTACAAATTTGTCTGTAGTATTGAATAGGAGAGTTAGGATTGTTCCTCTTTTTTTTTTAAAATAGCATAATTTGTACAGATTTCTGATTTTCAAATGTTGGCATGTATGGATTATAAGCTCTAGGTTTAAGGGTTAGCTATAGTGTTGGGTCCAGGGGTGAAGTTACCCACTTACTGCTGAATTATCTTATTCCCATAGGCTTAAGACAGGGACAAACGGGTTCCCGTAGGCAATGGGTAAGAATTCAGTCAGTGTAGAATATTGACTGTGGAGCAATTGTCCCTGGGACATGTGTAGTACAACCTCTCTAAATCAATTAAAATTAAAATAAATAGATAACAGATTTTAGAAATTCTTTTTTTCACAGAGAAAGAGGTTTGGAAAAATAAAATGGCATAAGGTGTGTGTGCTTTAATTAAAGCCCCTCTAAAGTGTTTGGAGCCCCAAATTTGCTTGAAAAATTTGATAGCAAAATTTCACTCCAATTGTGAAATTGTGTGAAAGAGGATGTCATTAAACACTCAACTCTTCAAAGATTGTCAAAACAAATGTGTGTGAAGATGAATACTGATGAAAGATTACAAAACTTCGGTTTTTTATTGTACGCAGAAGACCTAAATTTTGTATTCTTTTATCAATATTCATCTTCAAACACATTTTATTCTGAAAATCCTTGCAGAAGTCAGTGTTAAATGACATCCTCTTTCACCGTCTATTATACATTCAAAGTAAATTTTTGCCATCAGATTTGTTGGGCTCCCAACACTTTAGAGGGGCCTTAAATTCATAAAGCTTGCCGCTCATAATTCACATGTAGGGGCCGTTGTGGTTGCTATATACACATAGCTACCATTTTCATTCAAATTTGCTGTTCGATTACGTGTACTGCATCCTATCTGGATGACGTGTGATATAAAATGGCTCTGAGTTTTGAAGTGTATAGCGCCCTCCCATGGTAGATTGGTAAACATTGGACAATCTGATCAAGTTGATCACAAGCATGTTGGAAGTGGAAGACTGCCATCTTGTGGTCTAAAATATGTAGTGGTCTGTATACCTGTCTGTGTCTGAGATAATTTGGTTTATATGCAGTGCCATTGAGGGAATGATAAGACCAGTATTTTTCCATTACTTGGCCCATGAGAAACATAAATGTTTCCCTGTTTTAAACCAATGGTTCCAAACACACACACACGAATGAATGAATTGAATAAAAATTAAATTGCTTGTTGTTCTTAAAACCAAAGAATCGTGGGGGCGAGGGGCGGTTATTTTTGCATGCTGTAATCAGTTGCCACAAGACATTCACAGTATTTCAAGTGAGGATTGCATTGTGCCCTCAAAAGTCATCTTTGCAAAATTTCTTTCCAGTAGATCTAATTATTTGTTCCTAGTTGTCTCATTTATGTGAAGTTTATTTTCTCACTTTTCCTTTGCGTCTTGGGCACATTAGCCTTGTGGATTAGGTGCATTATGAATACTCTATATCATTATTATTCAAGATTATATCAAACTGATGCAATCATTTTCACAACTTGGACACTAATAATGATACAAATTATATTCCATTCTTGTTAGTTGCATATTACTTTATTCACCTGTTCATCTAGTCATCTGCAGTTAACAACTAAATTTGTTGGAATTTTTCAAGTACAGTATGTGAAAAATTGATTTTCTCGTTTTGTGTTTCTTGAGAATATGATATATCAAAGCTTACATACAAAAGTATTCAACAAAGGCTCACAGTTAAACCCGTCCACCTTTGTTTCTTGAGTTACGGAAATCTCTTAAAACCTTAAATTTACCAGGGGTATGAATAATTTAGTTGTGAAATTGTATATCCTTCTGAAAGTTGTATAGGTTTGTATTAAAGGTGAAGGTTGTTTAAAGGCCCACTGTAGCTACTTGCTCCCTCTTTATAGAAAACAATGCCTAATCGGTGACCATTGGTCCCCCATTATCCTCTTTTTCTTATGTTAATTGAGAGTTGATGAGATAGCCAGCTGTCAGTGACCTTCCTGGGTGGTCTAATCCCTCCTATAAACTAGTACAGATGGAGTTTAAGTCGATGGTTGTTGAACGATTGTCAATGTTGGATGTAGTTGAAAATGTTAAGTCCTGTCTTAATTCTGCCTAAATCTGTCCTTTATCGTAAACTTAATGGATGTTCAGCCATTGAATTCAAAGCTTTGACTCATTATGTACATGCAAATACTCCACTTTATTTAGATTTCTGAGACGTAATGTTTGATTTTGTTTCCCCCGTGGCTCTAACTACAGACTACATTCCACTCATACAATGCAAATTTGCGCAGACTAATGCAGACACAATGCCCTGTTCAAACACTTGATTTAGCTGTGTTATTTCTATTTCCACTTAAGCCCACTGCCTATGAGCACCAAATGGGACCTGTGTTAAGGCTATGGGAATGAAGGAATGCACTAATCAACATGTGAATTTATAATGAATTTATGTCATCAAGAAAAGATGATAACCAAACCTTCAAATTTAAACAAGGAGTGGACCATATGTAGTTGAACAGTTCTTTTTATATCAATTACTATATGATATTCATCACCAATGGGATAATGTGGGCCAGGTGGGGGAGGAGTGGGGTGGGCACCATGGCAGTGTGTCTGTGGGGAGGGGGTGATCATTTCATCATCCGTTTCTTATATTTTTTAACATCTTATGTTTTTCTTTTTCTCCCTTTGTGAAGGGGGGGGGGGCTTGAAGTCCAGAGTAATTTACCCCTTCAATTAAATAATTTTGTAGTCAAGTGGTATAGGCACTCGATTTGAAATGCAAAGGTCGTGGATTTGATGCTGAGACACAGCACTAATGTCTTTCGGCAAGGCATTAATCTACATTTGCCAATCCATACCCAGGAGAGAAATGGGGACCTGGTAGGATGATGAAAGAATTAGTGTTAGTAACTGATATATGCCCTCAAAATGAACATATGGTAGGAAAAGGAGTAGGAATGGAGATGGTGCACATTATGAGTGAATGAATCTGATGACCGGGGTTATTATATGTAAAGCACTTAGAGTCGGTATTTCGTATTAAACGCTGTATAAATCCAGATTATTATTTTTTAAAAATTCAGAATCGTTCAGAGAAAATGAGTCAAAAACAATCAGGGCACAAGATTGTTTTACTTAACCGTAGCCCCCTAAAATCCCCCCCCCCCCCTGCATTCTGCGCACCATTGACCTTTACATCTAGATACACCACATAAAGAATGCACCACCTTTAGGGTCTCTCTATACATGTACATGGTTACTTTTTATATAGCTCTTAAAAATCATCCATTGTGTTTAATGATTGCTGTCAATACAAAGAAACACAACTGAAAAAACATAAAATATTTTTATGTTATTAAGTTTAGATGAACTACTAGATGAGCTTGATGAACATGTTTTTATGGAGACACAAAGTTTCACATTATATTGCTTGTTATGCATGGCAGGTATTTTAATGGCACATCTTGTATCAACGATGTATTATTTTGTCAATCCATCAAGCAATGATTTATTTGAAACTTTTTATATTTCATTGATTGAAGCCCTTCTGGGAGCATTTAAAGCTCCCGTAACTAGCGATGGAGACAAAAGAAACTTCGAAGATAATTCTGTCGAGATGGGG